TAAAACATGCGAACGCCGTTGAAAACAGGGTTGGAAACTCAAGTATACCATTAGTTTTTATTGGACAGTGGACCTCTGATCCACATAGTGACGCGACTCTAGAACTAAGTAATTAATATAAGTAAAGCAACTCTAGAAGTTTTAGGGAATAAGTAGTTTCAACTCAAGTAGTTTCATTCTCTGGACCATTGGGTCGCTTCACTCGTCGACCTGCCCAGTCAAGGTTATCCTTGCTACAGTAATATGATCTCGAAATAACTCTTGGCTTTCTCTATCAGGAATAAGACAGCTCTACTCGCTCTGTCCAATTTCCCGCACTTAAATTAAGAGTCTTTTCTTTTTTTTTTGACTTCTTATTTCAGTTGTTGCGATAAACTTGAGCATGACATGGCCAATTCGAATTTTTCAAAAATCATGTTTCCCCAAAAATCAAGGCCAAACTTCAGAATATGACCGACTGGCCCATAATGACGCCTTTAACGTTGTTTTCGGCGTTCGTCGGAAAGTTCGACTCTGCCATTCCGGGTAATGGCAGTCTTGGAAGCCATTTGAATTTTTATATCTTGATTGATTTTGAACTTCGTCACCCAAATATTTGTTTTATTTTTAATATATGGCCTTTGTTTAAATTGAACCCGATTTGCAGTATCAATTAGCCTAATTGTTGTGATAAACTTATCAAATAGTTTCTTATCATGGTGGGTGACGAGGATGCTGCCGGCGGCCGAGGAATTACAGCCTCAAAAGCGGCTTATGGGAGCAAAGACTATTACCCGATTGCTGAACTGATCAATGCGGACGAGAGGAAACGAACAAAGGTGGTCTCAAATGTATTATTCGCGAAGTTGTTTCGCAACTACGCTCTGTCACATCATCCCAAAACAATGTTACGCCTATTATGGAAACGCTTGGTGAAATCTTCAATGGTATCCAAGAAGTCAAAAACTCGAATGCCTCTCTTATTAAGCATGTGACCACTACTCGCATTGACCCGACTGTGGCAAATATTCCTCGACGTGAAGACAATCTGACTCGAATTTGCGAAATACGCGTCCAAGGTGTTCCAGCTCTCAGAAAAAAAATGAAAATAACTCTTTGCAGGTGAAGAATATTCTGAACGCGATAGGCGAATCTGAAAGCAATGTAGCCAGTGTCTTTCGCCTTGGTAAGAGAGTGGCTACTGTTACCTGACCGAGAACCATTATTCTGCGATTTGCAAATGAGTGGTCTGCTCGAAAATGTTTGGCTAAATCCTACTTGCTCGAAGACTTTGACTATCCTGTATTCGTCTCAAAATCTTTGAATAAAGCTGAAACAAAAACTGAAAACAGCCTCTTGAAAATACGCAAGTTACTCATTGATTCTGGCGTTCCAAGAGAAGAGTTGAAACTTCGAAATTTGAAACTTTTCGGTCTGACGTAGAGATTGTCTACACCAATGAGGAAAACTGACTATCAATATCAACTATCAGTATTATATACACCAATATCCAGAGTCTTGTTGGTCTCAACAGACGTCTCAATCTTCAAGACCTTGCAAACAAACACGATGCAAGCATCATCTGCTTGACTGAAACTTGGTTGTCATCTGACATCGACAATTCGGAACTATTTTCTGGAAGTCAGTTCAGTGTGGTAACCAGAGTCGGCCGAAAATGTGGTTATCATGGTGGGGTGCTCATAGCAGCCCGAAATAACGCAATGTTTTCTCTTGTTGAGTTAAAAAACTCAACTGATTATAGTGCTTCTTCCATACTAACTACATCTAACTGTTGCTTCCTCATCATTGTTGTTTACAATCCTCCTGCTTCCTCTCGATATCGCATCTCAGTTTCAGAACTTGTACATCAACTGAGCGCTCTAATAGCCAAATTTCACGAATCTTGGCGTATCACATCTTCGAGTATCTTACTTCTCGGTGACTTCAACTTACCTGACGTCTGTTGGGACTCCCTGTATTCTACAAGTGATTACTCGTCGAAATTCCTGAACGCACTTGATCAATTGAATCTTTCTCAAGTTATAACTTGAGAAAGATTATAACTACACATGTTTGCTGCAATATTTTAGATTTGGCTCTAGTCTCGAACCCTGATTTTTTTGACGTGAATGTGCAAAACGACCGTTTGTCTGATCACTCTCCAGTGCTTGTTCAGCTTCTTTCTGCAAATGAAATAATAGGAACAAATGACATGCTATCGCCATTATTCAAATCATCTTTCTGCCATGCTCGTTTCATGTCTCAACTGGACAAAGTTTACATTATAGCAACTCTTCTAGATGTACTCCAGATTACTCCAAGCCAGTTTGTGTCTCTCTTCTATTGCACATTTATGGATGCTGTGAATGGTTCAAAAGGAACGTAAACGCCTAAAACGAAAACATCTTCCTTTCTATTACTCATCACATTCAATGAACTTGTACAACAAGATTCAGACTGAGACACGGCGTCACACTAAACTTAGTTTTTCACTTGATTGCCGTTCATCCCAACTACAACCAAGCTTAGCTGAATCTGTAGAATTGGACAAAATGATTCTCTGTGATAACTTAAAACGTTTTTCCACTCAAGATTGGTTCAAGTTTATCCGCTCTCTAAATTCTTGTACACCTCCTCCTTCAAGTGTTCACTGGAACTCGCGCACTGCAAATGATTTTTATTCAAAGTCAATCCTTTTCAATGATTACTTCTCATCAGTTTATTGTGTCACCGAAACAAACACTCAGAGTGCATATTGTATTTCTTCCGGGGACATAAAACTTTCAGATATGCCTCTCTCAGTGTCAATGGTTGATGAACTATTGTCGAAAATTGATGACTCCACTCGTGTCGCATGTGATGGAATTCCTCCGTTTATTTTTTTCTCGTTGTCATACCATTATATCACCAGCTATCTGCATGTTCTTCTTATTTATTTTGAGAACTTTGACCTGGCCGGCTATTTGAAAGACTTCAAATGTTACACCACTCCATAAAGCTGGCTCCAAAGCTGATGTTTCGATTTACAGACCCATCAGCATCCTGCCTAAAATTTCACTGGTTTTCCAACGTTTAATTTTTGATTTCATTTACAGTAAAGTTCGGCATAAAATCTCAGACCACCAGTTCGGTTCATGAAAAAAAGATCTAGTGTCCCAATTGATATCACTCGTTGATCAACTTTATGTCTATAAAGATGATAACATACCTTCAGCTTGCGTGTATTTTGATTTTCAAAAGGCATTTGACAGGGTAGATCATATTATTCTATTGCACAAATTGCGTTTTTATTTTTATATAATTACCGAGTACACAACAAACACCGAATACAAAACAAACAACAAATGTGGGATGAACCATTGAGAATTGAAAAGAGAGGGGGAATGCACTAACAGCAAAGGAACAAAGGAGCACCAGAATTGGGAAGGCAAAAAAGTAATAAACTGCACAAGACTAGATGGCCCGACTGACAATCATAGTGGCGTTTCCTCTCATGAGGCACACTGAGAGGCTCTGGAGAAGGCGAACTGGGGCAACACGAGCGTCACGTGAACCAGAACGTCTGGCATCAGCGAGGATAGCAACTGACTTGAGGGTTTTGATAGCTAAAGCGGACCAACCCCCGAGCGTTTCGACTGCTAACGGGAAAAAACTGATTAATTGCGATTAATTGGTTTTGAAATTTGTTTTGTACAGCTCATATCATCATATCTTACCGACCGTTACCAATCAGTTCGTATCAATGATACTATATCTCCGTCCGTTCATATTCCCAGTGGAGTTCCACAAAGCAGTGTGCTTGGCCCGTTGCTGTTTCTCATTTATATAAATGATTTGCCAGCTCAAGCTGTGTACTCAGCATGTTACCTTTTCGCTGCTGATGCAAAATTGAATGGATCCTGCAGTGCTGGCTTACAAAATGACATTGACTGTTTCTACGCGTGGTCGCTACAAATCAACATGTCCTTTCATCCATCGAAAACGAAGCTTCTCAGTTTTTGCTGCGATTTGGATCATTCTCTCTTTATTTAAATGGTGCTTCTATCGAACCTGTTAATGAAGTCACAAATCTCGGCCTAACCATCAACTGTTCTCTTGATTGGACTCCTCATCTTAGTATCAAAATGGCCAAGTCCTACAAAGTGTTTCACTATATCAAACGAACGATACCTTTTGCAGTATCACCTTTTGTTAAGTACAACCTACTGAATGCTTGCGTTCTTAGTGTTCTCTTGTATGGTTCTCAAGTTTGGTATCCAAACCTAGCAATGCTCCGAAAATTGTTATCTTTTCACAAGAAGATAGTTTATTGGTCCTCAGGTTGCTATGAATACCTCAAAGGTCTTGAAAAACTTTGTTATTCCGGTCTGCTATCAGCTTATCCTAAATGATGTGGTTTTTTCTCCAAACTATTGAACGGTGATGTTGACTTGAACCCGTTTAATTTTGTTTCTATTTTGCAGCCCAAAGCTAGTTTGCGCTCCGCTGACAAAAGTTTGTTTGTTTGCCGCCATAGCAAAAAGTTTACATCATCCAAAAATTACTTCCAGCGTGTCGTAGAAGATGTGAATTTTCTATCAATAAAAACTGATATTGACGTATTTGACAGAAAAGAAACTTGGCAGTTATCTCGCGAACTTGACTAAATCAAAGTTTTTCCCGACGTCCAGTTGCACATGGTTCCTGTCATGCAAATGCTCAAACTGTCGCGCCTAACAACTCCATTATTATTGTCTTTTGTTTTTGGTACCCATAAATAGGGAATTTAAGTCTTCTAGTAGTAGTAGTAGCATCAATATGACTTCTAATTTCATTTTGCAAATCAAGTGTTCTTTGTTTGAGATCGTGTGTGATATATCACACTATACCAGCTGACTTTTTGTGGAACTCTGTTTTGCGTGGAAAAACTCTAATCTAGATCCAGTGACTTTCACGGCTGGCTGTGCTGATCGGAATAAGAAATGATTTTTTGCTCAAATTTTTCTTGCTAGGTTATTGATACTTTAAGAATATTTCAGGCAAAATGGTGCATTATTACTGTTTTCGTGCAAATTTTTAAAATGCAAAACACAATCATGGAATCAGCCGATACCGAAGACCCGCTGTTTCCAAGCAGTTGTGCACTATGCCAGAGGCTCTTTAAACTGGACCGCGGTTTGAAACCCAAATTACTTCCATGTTTGCATACTTTCTGTGACGAGTGCATCAAATTACAATGTAAAGAAGGTAAAAATAAAGTCATCAAGTGAACCGTAAAGATTGTTTTGAAAAATTTTCTGGAAGGATTTTGAATATATTTAATGAAAATTCCGTGAGCATGATGATTTTTTCGATAAAATTTTAAAGATGTGTATTATATATATATATTATTTGTTTCACAATAGTACAAAATAACAGCATGACATACGCTTATAGATTTGAAGGTATTTTCAGCCGGCAAATAAAATGTTTCTTTTTTGTGGCTCTATAATGCCTTCTTTTTCTAGAACGTTTCACGTGTCCATTGGATTCTCAAGAATGCCGAAATGTACAAGGTGTGATGGACCAGTACTTCGTGCTCGAAAAACTGAGTCGAGACGAGTTGACTATTGATCAATCTAACAACTCGTGTGAGGGCTGCGTAGCTGACGAAAATGGCCGTGAACAATTGAAACCGTCAGCTACAGGCTTCTGCAAGCAATGTTCGGACTGGCTTTGTGACTCCTGTATCGCTGTTAGTATGAAGCCTGAACATGTTTTGAGCCTGTATTGGTCGAAATGCCATTTAGTTATCAAATATGCAGTTGGATCATTATCATTTCCGTGTACTTTTTTTACCATTGCGATAAGCAAGGGTGTTGCAACCGGGTACTAGTGTTTTTCCCGTAAGCAACTTTGTTCACAGAATTCGCACCTAAAAATAATACCCGAGTTTTCCTTGCTTTAATATAAATTCAAACTCGAGGTGAATTCTGTCTACATGGCGCAGTGGTAACATCCATGCTTGACGCAACTATTTATTTCGGTATTTTCGCTAGCTTGCAAAGCTGCGCTTGCGTTGAATCGCAAGTGAAGCGATGCTCCGCTTCGCATCTGTGTCTGAAATTTTGTTTGCTTATTTTATTCATTGACGGCTTGTAGAACCTTGCTTAAAATTTGACGAATAGACTTTTGTTTGTTTATGGTGGTAGGATTTTTCTTTAGTGGTGCAATTGTTGTGAATCTCTACTTCGATTCTGACGATCCAGATTATTAGATCTTTGTTATGCTTTAGGCGCATCGAAAAGTCAGAGTTACCAAAGACCACGAGATTTTGTCTCACGACGAGTACAAAGCTAACACATCCAGTGAGTGCGGAAAATGGCGATTCTGTGAGGATCATCCGAATCAAATGATTTGCCTGTTCTGTGAACCTTGTCAGATACTAACTTGCCGAAGTTGCCACTCCGATTCCAAACATTTAAACCACCAGTGTCAGTTCCTCAATCTGGTAACTGGAATTTATCAACTAACACAAATTAAAATCTATCTATTATATATTTAAATGCGGGCTTCTCTATCTCGCCACGTTTAAGCTTTTTAAACGTATTATTTTTGCTTGTTTAACGAAAGAATTTTTTTCACTTTTTAGCTTTATCGTATATTGGAATGGTTAAGAATTTTCTTCGATTTTCCAGTTGAATTCAGCGTTTAAAACAAGCAGCCTAATAGTGGAATGTTGTCAGAGTTCTACCAGGAGTTGCGAAATCAAACTCCATTTATGAATGCACTAATCCTTTTAGTGAACGAGATACGACGATTTATGTGTTTTTTTTTTTTTAATTTTTTTCAGAAAGCGCATATTACAAAGTAATTCACAAAATTTGAAATTCCCAAACCTGCAGTTGGGTGCTGTCGGATTACTCTTAAGGGTTCTTCAGATTACTCTTAAGCGATTCTTGCCGCCAAATATGACTGCTCAAAACTTTGTAGTTCTCGAGATATGACGTGTTTTATGATTTTTATTTTCATTTTTCAAAAAACTTGGATATGAAAAAACTAACCCAAATTGAATTTCTCAATCAACTTCATAGTGGGGCGCTTTCAGGGTACATTCAAAGGTTGAAAATCTGGCGTCCAAGTATGACTGCTCAAGTCCTTTTGGTTTTCGAGATATTGCGTTTTTTATGATTTTTTTTTTAAAAAACTTGAAAAACTTTAGATTTAAAAAATTCAAAAGATTTGAAATCACAACCTTTTAGTTGGGTACTGTGAGGTTTCTCTCAAAAGTTCCAAGTTGCAAATCGTGCGTCAAATTGCGACTTCTCAAACGCTCTTAGTTTCCGAGTGTGACGTTTGTTATGTCTTTTTTTTCAAAGTTGTTCAAAGTACTTAGATATAAAAAATTCACAAAATTTGAAGTTCCCATCTCAATAGTGAGGCTCTGTCAGGGTATTCCCAGGAGTTGCAAATTTTGCCTCGAAGTATGATTGCTCAAGTTTTTGTTATTTTTGTGATATGACGTTTGTTGTGATTTTTTCAGAAAAATTTTCCGGAAACTCGAAACTTTTTTTTTCAAAATTTGAAATTCCCAATTCTAAGTTGAGGGCTATCAGAGTAATCTCAAGGGTTGCGAATCTTGCCTCCGAATTTAACTGCTCAATTTTTCGCAGTTTTTGAGATATGACGTTTTACAAAAACTTAAATTTGACGTTTCACAAAACTTGAAATTCCCAACGCTGTAGTTGGGTACTGTGAGAGTACTCTCAGGAATTGCAAATTTTGCGTCTAACTGCGCGTGCTCAATTTTTTTTAAAGTTTCGAGATGTGACGTTTTTTCATGTCATTTTAAAATGAACTAAGAAAAAAAAAATTTCAGGTTTTTCAACGTTTGAATTAACTAAATATTGGATCATTTTTTAAAATCTGTAATTACCATCTCTTTAACCGGGTGCTGCCAGAGTACACTCACAAGATGCAGATCTTTATTCCAGTTTATTCGGTTTTCTATAGTGTTCTTAAAGGTGCGTTACAAGCTAGTCTAGTTTAAATAAGCGTTTTTACTCATCGATTCGTTTTGTTCTCAGAAAGCATCAGTAGAGAAATCAACGTTCGTCAGATTGACAGAAGAGGTTTCGAGCAAACAGGAAGGCGTAAAGAAACAACACGTTGAACTGTCTCGTCATAAGACCAATGTTAAAGTTGTCCAGCAGACTGTCTCTGATCAAATCGAGTCTTGTTTTCGGGTAAGCGTTCAGAAAATTAACTATATTTTTCTTTTAAAAATTGAAAACTATGCTTGAGAAGCATATTTCAGGACATTTATCGGAAGTTAGACGCTCGAAAAAACGAATTGCTTCAAGCAGTGGTTTCACAATGCAACGAAGCCGAAAAGAGGATCGAGATCCAAAGTGAACGCCTGACTAAAGTGCAAAATATCATGCGATTTGCAGTTCTGTTCGCGCAACGTGCGGTCGCATTGGAGGAAGCATTTCCCCTGATGAAATCCAGAATAGCTGTTTTATCACAGCTTAAGAATTTGACCAAAATACCTCTAGAGAGCTTGACTGTTGAACAAGTTGATATCAAGTTAGTAATCTTGGTTTATTTGAACGTGTTTAATATCGATAATTCTCAAATGCGTTCCGTAGGTTTTCACATTAAATCGGATGTTTAGGTTCTCATCAGACGGAAATTGCGTGGATTCGTTCTTGAAGTCTCTGGGTACTCTTGTAGATGCTGGAAAAGTGCAAAATGCTGAACAAAAGCAAATGAGGGCTAAAGATACGGGTTCAACAAACAGACAGCAATTTTTTTCGCAAAATGTCAAAAAAGATTCCGATAGTGAAGGTAGTATGGTGACTCAGAATAGCTCGATGTCTCCCATAAGCTCGGTTTCCATGAGCAGAGGCCGAGGAAAACCTAGAGGTTCTGTAAACAACCGAGGCAATCGAATGATATTAAAAACAGGGCCAAGCCGAGGTAGACCGCCAAAGATCTCTTTACCAACCGGTGCTCGTGGAAGAAAACGAGCAGTTGTTCCTAGAAAGAGAACGGTAAAACAAGAAGTTGAAAGACATCACAGGACGCCAAATATTGTGCAAGCACCAGTCAATTATTCCCCAAATGAAGTGCATGGTTCCCCTATTAGAAATGTTCTGCAATCCCCCGGAAGTAACTCTTTCATGTCTCCTGGTCATCAAATTACTTCAAAAAGTCCAGTTGTTGCCAAGACTCGTTCGCTGAATGAAAACTACGAACGATCGCCAGCTCATGTTAAAGTTGATCCCCACAATCAAATGATGGTACCTGGTGCAACTTTTCCTAGATTTGGTCCGACGGCGCGGTTCCAACAAGGCGGTGGACCACCGACCTTGGTGCAACAGCCGAGAACACCTCCAAACAGAACTCCACCTCATGCAACCAATCACATGGTCTCAAATGAACAGCTTCAGCACTGGAAAAGTGTGTTCATGCATAACAGTCGGCCGGAAAGTGAGATGGACCAGGAGCAAATGCGGATGCAACATATGCAAGCAGCAATTCATGACCAAGTTGTGTACGAGAAGCGTTATCAGGAGTATGCGATGAGAACAAACATGATCCAAGGCCAGCAGCATTCGCCCGCTGCGCAGGAACAAATGATCATACGGACTGCTACGGAATACGTTCGTCCGAATTATCAAAGGTCATCATCAGGCGCTAGTAGTGGAATGTTGAGTCCTGGAATGGCTCTAATGCCTCCTCAGCAGCCTTCTCAAATGTGGCAACCTCGAATGGGACAACCTCATTCCCCCGGCAGGTTCCCATACGACGCTCCTCATTTCATGCAAGACTTCATACCATACTCACAACCGCAGAATGCAAACATTGAAGATGGTTTTATGATAACAGGTAGTGGATTGTCTCCTCAGCATAATTCTCCTGCGCTCCCGTCTGTCTCTAGTTTGTCGAGAGCTGTGCCCTCGGATTTTTCACCGAGGAAAAAACAAGCTATTGAGTATCCCAGTTCTATGCAATCTCAAGGTCAAACTAAGAATGAAATGTTAGCTGCCGCGCCTTCATGTGCAATCGTTGAGCTGGGAAATTCTTCTACCGATGTTGACAGTCAGTACCGAAGGTCAACTTCAGAAGCTTCAGATTCAAATATGCTGTCCAACAATTCTCATCAAATTGAATGGTCGTCGGGATCTATTGATAAGCGTCCTAGAGGGAAAACAGCTCAGCCAGAGGTCATCGAACTAGGTGAGTAAGATCAAAGCTGAATATAGTTTATTTATCAAGTCGCGAACGACTGAATAAACTTGAGTGTTTTTGTCTTATCGAGTTTTATGATAGCTGCCAAGCAATCATTGCTGGTACAGTTGCTCTTTTAAAATATCAAGCAAGAAAAGAGTGTCCGGGGAACAATGGTGCTTTTTTGAATGAGAGGGGATGTTTCAGACGAATCAAGTCGTCATTGCCCCGCCGATTGGTCGAATGAAGCTGGTCAGCAACGACCGGCGAGTGCCGAGGAAACGGCCTTGGCATGTGAACTCATGCGGTTTGTTTCTATCTTTATCATTCTGCATGCGAGTTTATAACTTAACTCTGTTTCTATTGTTGGTTGCGTGAAATCTGACTTGGTGAGTATAATTGTTCTTTCTGACCACTCTCGAAGAGTAGGTTGGGACTATGGGTTGGGGTCGTTTTTCTAATTTTTTCAGCCAATTTTGAATACCCCGCGAAAGTTTGTAAGGGGTCAAGTGTGGAATCATTTTAAAGTCTAATTAGTCGTGATTGTGAACAGCAATTAGTTTGTCTGCATGAACAACAGCTGGCTATCCTTGTTTGATACAGGTGACAGAACTTCGAATGGAAATCGAATTTTTAACTGCTCAATGGCTAATGCTTTGCTTACATAATAATCAGATTTTAATGCATGGAAATTAAATGAAGCCAAAGAAGTTTGCGACTGTTACATTGTGAATAACAGTTGGCTTGAGATGTTTGTATCAAAACTTGGGTGAGTGACAAGTAGACAAGTCTGATCTAGACTGAACTTAATAACGAGCTTAACCAGCAAAATGAAGACATTTTTGGCGGTAAAATAAAAATTGCTTCACAAATTGTCCTCAAATCGAGTACATTCTATGAGGGAGTACATTCTATGGTTGGTTACATAGAGGATGGGAAGAGAGATTGTACCTTTGATCCAATGTTTCGTACATAATTGGAATTACTATCGTATTTTTTGACGTGACCTTCGAGTTTCTAATAAGTAGATATTGGCTTTAAAAAAGCAGGATTTGTTGCAGTAGTTTTTCAATTCAAGGCTTTCATGAAAATTTGAAATATTTCTTGAGCTTGGGAAAAACTTGTTTTTTTTCCTCATTACAGAAGAGAAATGAATTTGCCATTGTTTACTTCCCACCGCTAGTAGCTAGCGGTGACAAAACGCTGGTTTTGCTTTTTTCATCCAATTGACGTCAATCTATTCAGTTTCATGTTCCTGGATACACAATCAAGAGATTGTATTAAATGCGAGCTCAATTTTGTACAATCCTAAGTCGAACAAATTAGGGCTCATCTTTTTCGCTCAAGGTCATTGGTATGCGACTCATTAACAAGTACAAAATTGAGCTCGTATTTAATAGCTGGCGAAATTTTTAGGAGTCGATGAACATAGTTCAGACTCTTATATAGGTCGCGATGATTTTTTTCAGGAAATGTCTTAAAATTTGTTCAGGCTAAAATCTACTTTTTCGCGGTTTGATTTCAGATTTCTTTTAAGTTCATTTACTGTTTTTTACACAAGCAAAGCTCGTGTGATAGTATGAACTCTCTCTTTCTGTCCAAATTAAGTCGCAAATATTATGGTTCTTTTTGAAAGTGTTCTTTTATTGCATAAGACCAATAATCGGCTATTATGTACAGCCAATGCTAAGGATATTAGCGCAGACTATTATATTACAAATAGCACTTCAGCTTCAAGGTATCATGGATATGTAGCGTAAAAGTAGGGAAGGAGACCTGCAGCAAAATAAGAGGTTCGAAACTGGTCAAGGTCGGATGTTTTAAATGATCTTTTTCATCTACTAGTTAAATAGCGCCCGCTCTATAAATTGAAGCATGCTAGTTGGTAAATTTCTTTTTTCAAATTGACTGCTAATGCGTCATAATTGGCTTGCATCATTTGAGAAATGATTTCGACTCAAAGTTTCACTAATTCAGTTTTTCTCAGTGGTGTTATCGGTCATATTTTTGCTTCTGTATGCAAAGTTCAACTTCACCTCTGTGTAAAAGGAAGGCAAAGTACACTATCAAACAGCGAAAGTTAAAAGGTTACGCAAAACGTGATCGAAATTTAGTTTCAAAAATGGAACTTATTAATTTTCAGATTTCCCAGCGAAATAAAAAAATTGCCCCATGATCCAGCGTTATCAAATTGGGTTAATTTTATCGAAAAAGTTCCCGTCATATAATGTTAAATTTCAAAGAGCTTTAAGGGCATCTCTTTTTTGTTTGAAATTCAACAGTTGAGATTTTTCAAAAGTTATGTCAGTTTTTTTCTGTTTAATTGCCCGTTGACTCTTTTCCATCTGCCTGTTGGCTATGTTTTTGTTTTTAAGAAATAAATTGTTTCTGAATTGGGTTGTGCTTTGCCATAATAGTTTTTCAGTTTGTACGCGTTATTGTAAATTTTTGTACTCAAAAAATTCAAATGACATAAGAGTGAGCGGATCGTCTTAACAATCTTCCCCCTATGGTATCACATGAAGAATCTCCATTTTAAAAAATAAATACAGTACATCAGCACTAGATCTTGTATTGAGAATTCGAATTTTGCTGCATTCTGATTGGTCGAAAATTCGACAACTTAATCTACTTAACCATCTCCCCCCTTTCTTGATAGGGGGGGGGGATTGATAAGTAGATCCGAGTGAGGTACTATCTATTGCAAATTTCTCTGGAATCAAGTCCCTGTTAAATGAAATTTAAAAAAACTGGAATTCAAAATAGCGTATTCGCAAGTTTTTCCCAGCTGTTGAGTACGGTTTTGTTTTAGATCCGTAGACTCGGCTCAGGATTTATTTGATGACAGGTTGAAGAGTGGCTCGAATGATTTAATGGTAAGTAAGTTTCACCTTTGCGATCTTTTTGTTTGCGGATGGCGTAGTAATAAATATTTCAGTTGTTTCAGACTGTAGATAACGTGCGTATCTCTGAAGAATCAATCGAAAGGAGTTTGGAGAAAGGAGATAAATCTACTTATTCAACGAAGCAACGGCGACATAACAGGGAAATGGTTGACAGTGGGATCCCTGGAAGCTCTCGTATCAAAAGAGACAAGAAAGGCAGAGATGACATGCAACATGATGAATGGTGTGCAGTTTGCGCTGATGGGGGAGAGCTGATTTTGTGTGACACCTGTCCTAAGATATACCACTTGGAATGTCACGTGCCAGCTTTGACCAGACCTCCTACGTAAGATTTCTTAGCCGATTTTGCCAAAAAATTTAACCACATTGCAATATAAGCACAAGTAATCTAGATTTAGTATGTTTCATTTAACGGTAATAGTATCAGCAAGTGCCACTCTAGCTTGCGGTATGATAAGTTTTTTTTTTCTGTTAGAAGAAAGTTTGATTGTGGTTCAGGCCTTTCATTGAGCCATAAACATACATATTTATGCGAAAGGTAAATTGGCAACATATTATTCTCTCCTGATTGGTAATGATTTCATCTATTTTACATTGTTTTTCTGTGCTTGGAAAAAGTCACGTCCTCTTGTAACGAGATAGCGCACTGTACCGGACCTAATATAAATCTGCTCGGTTAATAATCTACGGTTTTCTCAAGGGAAGGGTGGGAGGTTTTAAATTAATGAATTTTTTCAGGTCGACCAATTGATTTTTCGAACTCTCTCAAAACTGTATAAATGCTGTATTTTGTCCAGTTTTTGGAGCTGCTGGCAAATATTAGAAAAAAAACTGGTTAACACTTGCTTAGGCTCATAAGTAATTTACGCGGGAGTTATGAAATGAAGTCTATTTTTGTGTTCAGTGGTGACTTCAGCTGCACACTGTGTCGTCAGTTCCCCACAGTAATCCGATCCAAGCTGAGTGCGGGCAAGCGGGCCATGACCAATGACGCCAAGAAGCTGTGTGAGAAGGTGTTGCTGCTTATGTACACTAAGCCAGAGGGAGAGGACTTCCACAAGCCCGTTCCACTTGAGGTCACTTCATATTAATCACTTTTCATGAACAAATAAAAATTTCACGATTTTTTTGTGTCTTTTTAAAGGTCAATAAGCGACTCTACCAGTTTTCAAACAGGAGTGTCAATGAAAAGGCCGTCTAGTCCCCTGTGTGCCTGCATACTCCTCTAGTCTCTGTTTACTTCACCCTCTGTGTACAGCCTTCGAGAAAATATGTGGGGGGGATTTGACCCGTATTTGGGTGTTTTAATCGTTTTCTCAAAAATAAGTTTTTCAAGTCTGAGATTTTGAGTTCAATGAATAGAAGAGGGCTTGTAAGAAGCTCCCTTGCATAAACGGCTACGACCAATTTTTTAATACATAAAGTTATGACCCTCGGAATTGTCAAATTTTTGAGTTTCTAACCGTCTTTTGAATCTTGTCTCAAAAACTAACATCTCAAGTCTGAAATTGTGGGTTTAATTTTGATAACGGGTAACATTAGCTTCTGCATTTTCGGCATTTCACAAATTTTTATTACACAAAAAATTATCCCTCTGGCCTTTCACTTTTTATTACATAAAAAGTCAAAATCAGGTATTAAAACATAAAAACTGACTGAACTTAGGTTTTTGTTGTTTGATATTAAAAATTTGAAGCAAAGTATTTTATTGAAGAAAAAACTGTCTGCTGCTTTATTTTAAAAAGTAATGAATGTAGTGAAGACTCTTATATAGGTCTTGCTGATTTTTTTCAGGAAAAAGTCTTAAGATATTGATGCACTTAGGTATAATGCACTTTTTGAGCTCAATTGAAATTCATCTGCTGAAAGTGACGTAACAAGCACACTCCAAATACCAACGTGGAAATGGCGTAAAAAACGAACGATTTCTAGTTTCGAATGGGGAATTTAATTTTTAGATTTCCAGCGGAATAAAAACTTTACCTATTGATCCAGTTTTCTCTTGTTGGGTTCATGTTATCAAAAAATGCCATTCATAAATTGTTCTAGAAATTCAGAGAGCCTCAAGAGCATCTATTTTTTTCTTTGAAATTCGAAAGTTGAGATTTTCCAAAAATTCAGTGTTTTTCCATATTTCATTACTCTGTTCCAATCTTCGATTTGCTATGTTTTGTTGTTCCGACCACGAAAAGTCGAGAAATATTGGTTTGAAATTAAAGCGCTTTTAACGATTTAAGTGAGAAGAGTCACTTTTCGCCGAGAGTGATAATGTGCGGTCTTTTTTAGCTTGAGTAACTAATTAAAACGATAAAACGTGAACGATTTCTTGTTTCGAAAGTGGAAATTATTCTTAAGATTTCCCAGCTGAATAAAAACTTAACCTATTGATCCAGTTTTTTCCAGTTGGGTTCATGTTTTCAAAAAAGCGCCAATCATAAATTGTTCTAGAAATTCAAAGAGCTTAAAGGGCATCTATTTTTTCTGTCACGAGATTTTTTCAAGAAAGTCAGTGTTTTTTTTATGCTTACTTTCCGTTCATTACTCTTTCAGTTGATTTTTGCGTGTCAATGCATCTTTCTAAACTTTTTAATATCGATGAGCATTGTTCATGGTCTTATATAGGTCGTGATGAATTTTTTTCAGGAAAAGTTTTAAAGTGCTCTTCATAGCTAAGGAAGTGCCTTCATACATTTTTCTGCATTTATGAATGAACTTAGGTGTATATGCATTTTCTGAGTTCAATTCAAATTCTATTGCTAAAAAGTGCGCGAATTGCGTGCTCAAATTATGAAAGTGTCAAGTCACTAAAAACGTGATCAACTTTTATTTCGAAAGAGTATTTTATATTTCAAATTTCCCAATGGAATAAAAACTTAAGTTATTGATTCGGTTTTCTCAAATGGAGAAAACTCTAGTATAAAAGTGTCAACCATAAAATCGGCTTGAAATTGAAAGAGCTTTAAGACCATATATTATTTTCTTTGAAATTTAAAAAAATTCTGTTTCCTTGCATTCATTGACAAGTTGAAGGTTTGAAGTTCATTTTCTTTCCATTAAAGGTTTGAAATATAAGGTTTTTACAGTTAAAATGTTCGCTTTTAAAGCAAATAGCAAAAACAAAGTTTCTGCTCTTCCAGGTCATTCAATTAGAGTTTATTCTGATGAAGTCTAAATTGACAGTGACCTAAATAAAATGCTCTCACAAGACCTGAGAAATGAGCTTCAACGGTTAGATACGGAGCAGACATGGCTAAATGAATATGATGCAAATGGATAGTACTCGATTTGTTCAATAATCAAGTATAGAATTTGCCTTGTAATGGCTTGATTTTTTTGTTTTAGTACGAAGAATACTACGAGGCAGTCTCGCATCCAGTTGATTTCTCTCACGTGCGGAAGAAGCTGGCTCATTCGCCTACTATTTCGCTCCTACGAGGATACACGAGAGTCGGTGCGTTTTTAGAAGACATGCGCAGAGTGTTCGACAATGCGATTTACTTCAACGGCTCGGAAAGCGAATTGGGAAAAATCGCATGTAACTTTCTTCAGTATTTTAGTAAGAATTCGGTGGAAATTTTGGGATTTCAAGTCGGACCGTGCAGAACTGCACGTAGACCTGTACGTAGAGCTGCACTTAGAAATGTATCTGATGAGAGTGAGGACGAAAATGATCGAAACAACGACGATTCTCCTGAATATTGATCCATCACTCCAGTGATCGAAAAAACTGTAAAACTTGAACTTGTTTCTGGATATAATTCATCAACAGTTTTATTGTGATGTGTTTTTTGCCGCTCTGTTTAAACTTCTTCTTGAAATCTGTAACGGTATCAATCTCTATTTTTGTATAGAAAATTCTTTATTGGTTAATATTGGTAGAATATCTTCCCATGGGTTAACTTATCTGTTAAAGCAGCTTGCTCTCTAAATTAAACGTTATATAAAAAATATAACGAGCGATTTGGATTTGTAAATTATATTATCTAATTCTAAAAATATCATTGTACCGTCTGATTTTAATTTTACAAATGTTTGTTGAATATATTCTTAATCCTTATCTTTTCAATTATTAGATAAAGTATACTCCAAAATAAGAGTTGATGAACGTAATTCAGACTTTTATGTAGCTCCGAATATTTTTTTTCAGGAAAAGTCAAAAGTCTAAAAAAAATGGTTCAGGCTAAAATCTACTTTTTCGCAGTTTGACTTTTGATTTATTTTCAAGTTCAGTTCATTTCCTTTATTAAAAGGAAGGCAAATTACACCAGCGAAAGTGGAGAGGTCACAAAAAATATGATCGACTTCTAGTTTCGAAAAAGAAATTTGATTCCGTTTTCTCAAATAATTGTATCAAAAAATTGTCAATCATTAATGGTTCCAGAAATTCAAATTCCAGAGTTTTAAGGCCATGTATTTTTTTCTTTGTAATTCGGATTTTGAAATTTCAAAAAATGTATCCGTATTTTTTCGGCATAATAATAATAATAATAATTATAATAATAATAATAGCATATTAATCGAATGGCATAAAGTTTTTGAAAATTCCATTTATCATAAATTTTCTAAACAGTCAAATGATTTTCTTTTTAACTTGAAAATAACATCTTTTTTAACAGTGAAAATGAACTAAATTAATTTTCAATTTGCAAGCAATTTTCAGTTTTTCGGTTTGTATAAGTTTTCAATTTTACAATCGTGGAAAAACTATTGATATCCCAATAAAGACAGTTCTGGGCAACTTTTTCTTTGAATGGTTGGCCAATCAAATTATTTCGCATTCGGTAACCCACTCAAGTGTTTGATCGATTTATGGCATTTTCACAAACCTATATTGTTTTGGGAGTCTTGTTTGGCATGTACGCTGCAACCGTTTGGTGGAATTTGATGCCTCGCAGTTGTCTCGTAATAGTTCAAGAGACGCTGATTTTTGTGTATCATCATATCAACGATCTTATTGACGAATCTTGAGATTATAAAACTTTACGCGAGCGTTAAACAGGTAGACAACTGGTTGGTTTGAGTTTATATAATTTGTTCAGTCTGTAGTCAGTTTTTTGAAATTAAAATCAACACCTAAATCTTTTGATTTTGTCAAAATTATCTCTGAGAGTTGAAAAAAAGATGTGCAAACACTTATGCATACTCGGTTTTTTGCAGCCTCGGCTTATAGTTAAATCCGAATATTAATAGGAGATTTTTAATACATAGATCATATCTTTTAATCATGTCTGCGACGTTTCCAGAGTTAACCAGAACACGCTGGTGAGCGAATAAAAACTACCCGATGATAGAATATTCGCGATAAATTCTATGGTCTGTGTTTCTTCACTGGGGCACCAACATGATCTGATTACTCAGAAAGGTATCTGGCCGAAATCTTATGGTGACATTTTTTTCCAGTTAAGATTACGAATTACACAATTGTAGTAGTCGTCTTAAATCCTGGATCTAAATGCGAGTGAACTTTTGTGATTATGAGATAAAGGATCAATTCTGAGAAGTCTTTGTGATTCCTGTAGCTTTATTTTGAAAATAGAGAAATGGGAGTTTTTGATTCTCCTAATACTGCAAAAAATACGTCAACTTGATAAGTTAGAGTTCGGCAAAATCGTAAAACTTTGATCAATTTTCCCATTCAATGAGCGTTTTCAATTGCCGCGCCAGGGAAAAACTTGGAAAAATGGTTGTGTGAAATGAAATGAATGCGCTATCTTATTTTCCCTAGCTACGAAACAACGCTTTAGCTGCTTTCAGCTGTGCCGAAGAACCAACAACATATGCGGATAAAACCCTGTTTCTTTTTAAACCTTTAAATTTGGGTCACGTTATGAATTTGAAAAGTTGCAGATAAGTGTTCCAATTACTTTAGTAACGAAAATCTAGTTTTTCAATTTCTAAATTTAACACGGGCTTAAAACAAGAAATAAGCTATAAAAAAGGAATTGCTAGTTTCACTTGCAATAGCAAGTGTGTTGCAATCAGGTACTTATTTTTTAGGTTTTATAAATGTTGTTCACAGGACTCATCTGGGCTCACCTCCTATTCACATCTGTTTGAAATACAGCAATAGAAATTATATGGATTAGTCAGCATTTTAAGTATCCGTCTGATTTGATCTCTATGTTGGTTGTAATTTTACCAACTTTATTCCTTAAAGTTTTATTTTTGGTTTTTCTTTTCTTTTTTTTTCCGCTTAAAAGTTAAGCTTTGTTTTACATCAGCTCAGTGGTCTCATTTCACGTTCTTCCTTGAGAAGATTTTTTGGGTGAAAGTAGGTGATTTGAGGGAAGGAAGACTTGAAAACGTTTTATTAGTTTTTAAATTTTTTTAATGTTTTTTTTTCGGATAAAAGTCTTTCTGCTCATGTATTTACGACTTTGTTTTTGCTTGCGAAGGCTTCTTTCGATGTTAATTTTGTATTGTTTTATCCATTGTAATAGATTTTTTTGCCATTGTTGATTTTATTTTAAAATATTTCTTCGACCTGGTGGCTTTCTTGTTTTGCATCGCAAGTGGTGCTAAGCTCCACTTCGTCTCGATGTGATTGTTGCTATGAGAAAAAACGCAACATAAAGTTACGACAGTTATTTTGATAATTTGTCGCTCCTTGGTTGCTACAACGTTAGACTTGAAGACGACGTAAATCTTGATTTAAAAATGGTACTGTTTCCATTACAAGATTCAAAAATGAGCGCTTTGTCATTTGAAAATCGTTGTAATTTGCTGTTTCGTTGTAATTTTTCATTTTAAAATCGTTGTAATTTGCTGTTTCGTTGGAATTTTTTAAATGTTGACAATCTATTCCGGCTTAGCGACGTAATTTCCAGTTATTTTAATGAAACTATTTTTTTGCTCATCTGTGGATTGAAAAAAATGCTTAACATCTTAATAGAAATTATAATTCAAATTTTTCTTAACAATTTTTTCATCGCCTTGTGTTTTTTCTTCTTTTTTTCGGGCTTATAGATTTCGGCCTATATTATATCGGCCTCATATTACGTCCTTCGACGAGCGAAGAAAGTGTGTGTGTGTGTGCGTGTGTGTGTGTGTATATATTGTGTCTGTGTTTGAGTGCGAGGGGTGCTTAATAACTTCTTATTAGTCTTACCTTTTTCCAATATTTTTATATTAGTTCATTTTGGGCTTCGGCTTACTTGTCTCATATTGTTTCAATTGATGAGCAAATAATGTTTTTTTTGAGAGTTTTGAGGGCAATGGGGACTTTTCATAAGTGTTAAATCTTGTTGTTTCTTTTTTCCGGGTTAGAAGGTTTCTGCCAAGGTATTTGTTACGACTTGGACGGGTTAGACGGTTTCTGCCAAGGTATTTGTTACCGCTTGGATAATTAACTTCCGATGCTATTTTCATTCTTTTGTCTCGGTATTTTTTTGTTTGAAAATTAGCCTTTTCCACTATGATAGATCTAGTTTTTTTAACAGTTTCGATTTTTTTTCGGTTTTTTGTGTTGTATCGCAAGTGGTGCAAAGCTCAGCCTGCCTGTGTATGGAAAGTGTTGCCAAGCTCCATCTTGCCCGTGTGAGAACTTTTTTTTGTTGTGACAGGAAATCAGTATGAGTGATCTTTTAACGCAAAATTCTCCGAATTTAACAATGCAATGCAAAATTTGATCGAGAAGTTCTTAAGAAAAATAACATTCGTTTTTACAATAGACTTTTTTTTCCAAATAGGGTTTTAGGGTTTTTTAATTTCCAACACAGACGCGAAGTGGATTTTGGCAACACTTGCGATACAATTGGAACACTTCATTTCAAGAAATTGACATAAAACTTTAAAAACTATATACTAGAAAACTCTATACCTACAAATTCACATGTTTGTCTCGGATGATGTGCATTAACCTCTATAACGAACATTGAGAATCAATGAAAGAACCTCAACCAAAGAAAAAAAAATGGGTCGACCTTAATTAAACCGGAAGCGAAACTGTTATCATAAAAACGCAAGCTATAAAATATTTGAAATCAAAATTTTTTAAAGCTATCCCTCCTAAAACTGACAAAAAAAACCAAAATTCGCTCTTGAAACTCGCAACAAAAGTTTGCTAAGCCAATGAAAAAGTAAGAGAACCCTTTTAACAGAAAACAGATTATTAAAATCAAGGGTTGCTAAATTACCAACTACAGAAAATTTTTTAATGGCAGTAAAGACTATGAAATCAGCTGAAGCTGAAGTAGTTTGAGGTTTTTTCGAATATGTTTTATTGATGCGAGATGAAATGCGTATTTTTTTAAAGTTCAAAACCCCAAAACTTCCGTTGTTTTTCTACTAGCATGAAGTGATTAGCCGCTAGTGTACGGGAGATACTATTACCCATTCATACATATGACTCATAGTGGAATTGCGCGGAGTAATGTATTTTTTCTGCAACCTGTTTATTGGATCGAACATGTGACTGCGAAGCCAATTAAACAAGGAAAGTTCTAATAAATTGTTTTTTTTTTCGCTTAAACTTTTAATCTCATATTTGTCAGAGTAGTTTTCGAGAAAAAAGGAAAAATTTTTGCAAATTTTTGCTAATGGCGGTAACTCCAGAGTTCGGACGTTTCAATGGAAATAATAAGTTTTCTTAGAAAAATTTAGGAGTCCATGCTTCTGCAGGAAAAAAGTGCAAGCAGTTTATTCGATTGAATCCTAAATCTCAAATCCTTAATCTCAGGGTATAGAGTCTAAAAAACGTTCACAATCATAATTAATTTTTACTTTTCCGACTGTTATATTGTTTTTCTAAAAACGGAGAAACTCACAAATTGTTTTTTAAAATTAATTCATTTATTTTCGAATTGGAAAGGTCGTTTTAGAGAAGTATCTAAATATCGGTCAAAAGAGCAAAAACTTGATTTTTCCGCAGGCCATAAATTTTTTTCTGGGAAAAATTACAGACTATCCGTTTATGCTCGGCAGCTTTCCTCGTTCCGTTTTTTCAATTTAATCAAAAATCTGAGATTGAGGTTCGAAAAAACGATCAAAGAATCAAAACTTTGAATTTTCTGACAGCAAGTAAAAAAAAAGAAACTTGGCGCAGCCCTAATATAGAAAATGTTTTCACAACCCATGTTTTCGGTCGAATCTAACATCTCGGATTTGGTAGGGTAGCTAATGAGAAACTGAAAATTCCAAAAAAAAAATGGTTCAAAACTTTTCCGAAGGCTGTAGAAAGTGGGGAAAGTTAAAAAGCTACTAAGTGATTACGCAGCCAGACAAGAGAGTAGACTTTCTTTCCATTGGAACCATTGTTTTGAAAAATACTAGGGTATGTTTGAAAAATACGAAAGATTCTGAGAACTGTTCCAATAAAAAATTTAAGTACCCAAGCTTTCCATACGAACTGCTAACGCAAACTGAATTCGAGAAAATCGGCCCACCAATATATTTGGCCCAGCTAAGCCTTTTCAAATAGTTTCATACAATTTATGTCAAAATTATCAATCTTGTCTTGAATAGTTGCACAGAAAACGACATAAACGCGGAGAAAAACTTGTTCATTTGCTCGTCGAAATCAAAAAGTTGCAAATTCAACTTCAATTTTTCTAAAGTATTATTTAAGCTGTAGTTTTCACATAAAGCGATGAACAAAACGTGGAACATCATATTGCTAAGCGTGAATAATTAAAATGAACAGAGCTACTGCTTGGTTCACAATGGTAAATTTTCAACACAGGCAAAGATGCGCTTCGCAAACAGAAGCCAGAGCACGACGAAAAAACACGTTTTTACAGTGAAATAAGAAAAGATATACATAAGCCTCGAATTAGTTAAATTTGCAACCTATCGGGTTTAAACCTGCGACTTCCAGATAGGGAGTCTCACGCCCTGCCCTATCGGTTACAAACGCACAACTACGGTAAACACCAGTGACACATTAAGCAGTTGCATATGCTAATACATTGCCAATGCGATGCGGCAAAAATAACACAAAAAAATTAATAGACACACTTATGCATGAAATAATTTGGAATATCACAAACTGCAGGCATTCACACTAACTGCAATATTGCTGGCTTCAGTTTTTTGCTGCAAAAATTAGTCTGTACAGGGTAGTGAAAAAATTTAATTAAATTTGAAAAATTAAACAGAGGCGAAGAGGAGCTTTGCAACACTTGATGCAAAAAAGCCTGAAAAATGAAGTTGAAAAAAATACTTGAAAAGTTGAAAACGATACACTTACAAAAACTTCATGGTTGTATAGAAAAATTCAAAAAATCAAAACTTTGAATTTAAAAAATTCAAAATCAATAATCTAGCGGCAACAAATTTTGAGTCGAAACCACTTTTGAGCTTAAAACGAAACTGTTGTCATTAAAAACTTTTAAATTTTAAGGGTTTTTACGACCCCTTCACTTTGAAACATAATCGCAAGCAAATATTTTCCCTCGTTATTTACGAAAAGTCTAGTGCCCGATTGCAATATCCTTGATGGTCGCAAGGGTAAAAAAAGCGTTAGACAACTTGAAGGGATTAGAGGAGTTTAGAGCTTCAACTCCAGTAAGAGCTCAAAATTTACGGCTCAATTGCAGCTGAAAGAAAACCATTGTGATGTAAAATGATACATTTTTCAAGTATTTGATTTCAAGAACCATTAAAACCAAGCTAGTTCATTTCCGTCTTAAGAAAATTTTTTAAAATGCCCAGTTTGCATACACTACATCAAGTGTTTTTACAATCCTTTTTAAAACCAAGAGTTCTTTTTGATGGGAAAACTGGACAATAGAAGAAACTGGCAATCTTATTGAACTACGGATATTTTAAGTGACCCATTTTTAATTTGATCACCTACAACGAGCTAAAAATGTTCAAATAAAATCTTTCGTGGTAGCGAATAACAATGAGGTACTGCTTCTTCCAGCTAGTACCTGGCAGTCGTTGAAATTAAATTCACCTCTGAAACTAAAGATAACTCTGTACTTACCAACTACTTTGGTTCAATATGAATTGAAATAATATACGTCGGGGTATTGGAGTTGTCAAATACCCTTAGCAAGCATTTCAATGACAAAAACAGATTATTACAAAACTGAATTTGAATCATATGAAAACTAAGAATTGCATAGAAATTTTACTACAAAAACATAATAATTTAATTATATTCGAATGAGACCATCTGTCTGTCGAAAAAGTGAGAAATTCAATTTGATTTTTGGCAAAGAGATGGACCCAAATTTACTGCAAACGGCTAAATCCACCATGTAAAAACACATTAAAATTTAAATTGTAAAAACTATCGAATAACTCTAATTTGCGAAAACAGACAGGGGAGCAATGCAGAAGAAAAATAGCAATGAATCTATTGTGACAATCATTCATCTTAATCGATCAAAAATTGTTTTTTCATTAAATTTGTCCATGATTTTTACTAGCAGGCCATACCAGCATTTAAAGAATCAAATTGGATAAACAAATAGCATGCAATGCAATTGAAACTATATTTATGACCGCAAAGATGACGCAAAAATACGAGCAAAACATAACTTCAACAAGCTGCAACATCGAATAATTGTAGCGAGTCCTCTCTTCAACTCAATTTATATCTTGGGACAAAATCAGACCTATGAGGAAGCGAGAGAAACCTCGACCTGTTGACAAGTTTTGAACAATTTGAGTAATTATTTGAGTCGACTGCTGTTTCGTGAATTAAATATCATCTAGCTTAGATGGTTAAATCCGATCAAAAAGAGGGCGTATCTGTGGACTGGCAGCGGATCTTATGACTTCGGATTTAAAATGCATCCAATCAAAGGGAGTGTTAGTTTCGACCGATAGGGGGGCGGCGTTACAGGTTGTATGCGACATAGATGGGCATGAATTCGTCAGATATGAAGCTATCTCTCAAGGTCATTCTCTGTTTCTCTCCTCTGGGGTTGAAGGGAATGATGCAGGGGTCTGTGAGGACTACCACACCCACTATGAGATTGTGCTCCTCTATCACTGCATTCACAATGAGGGGGATGGCGTTCAGTGCCTCTGTCTCGTGAGCACTAATCTCGGCCACCACCACCAACATGTCCGAATAAGAAAACACGGCACTAGAACATCAAACATATCACAATGTGGTCAAACTTTTTCAGTTCTTTCCTACTATTGACGCTACATACTCCTAACAAAAAATATAGCCCTCAACCAGGGGCGGAATGCCCCTCCCCTCCCCCCAGGGATTCGACCCCCTACCGACCCAAAGGGTCCCCCTTTGTACTATTTTCAGATATCCATTTTGGGTGACGGACTCAAAATGCGCCTTTGGCGCCAATATATATTAATTTCGAGGGGGGAGCGAGTGCCGAAAAAACGCAATTTTTTGGTCAAAATTTCCCAAAAATGCCTCAAAACGCATTTTTTTTCCACAGTTTTGGCCAAGACAAGGTCTTTTTAGTGCTTTCGCTGAGCTCGAAAAATCAATTTGGTCGACCTACAAAAAAGGTCGACAAAATTTTCAAGTGATGCTAGATGTTGGTTACCTTTCAGAGACTAGATTGGGACAGCATCTCTTCACTGTGTCTTCTATGTCCGAGGGGTAGTACACTCCCTGCCTCACAGGAATCTTCTCGGCCATCGATCCCACCACGTACAGCGCGTCATGACGCTCTAAACATATTCAACCACAGTGACAAATTACCCAGAGATAACTCACAATTTCACAGCTATACAACATAGGCTAAAGAAATACTTGAAAAATCAATCAAAGTTGACAGTTAATACCGGATGTTGCCAAATTACCTTCAACACTTCGCTTTCGGAGCAAAAACAAGGATAGAATAAAAATAAGGATAGCCGATGGCTGTGCAAGTAGCCCAGAATGTTCCGACCATACTCTTAAGAAAAATACATAAACGCTTTTTTTCAATTTAATGTTTTTTTGCTATTTTTCCAATTTTTTTGCAGAAATTGTTCTGAAATGTTGAAGTTTTTTTATTCCGAATATGGCGCTGAAAAACACTTTGAAAAATAATTTTAATTGAGTTCAACTAAAGTTTCGAGGGTTATTCTTCTAGAATAAGCCTGCTCGCTTATTCAATTTATACAAACTCAATTTCAAACCGGTTTCTCTCGACACTGGGAGAGCGCTTTAAAAAATTTTCAATGTCGTTCGAATCAGGGCTGAAATTTTCAAATCGTAGCAATGTCTTGGAAAAAAATTTTCATAGACGAAACTTATTTTAGGCGCATTTGGACAAATAGAGAAGCCAAAAAATTAATTATTTAAGCAGAGCAGAACCCGCTTTTGATTGCCAAAATTTATCCGTTAACAGTTATTATACTGTTTGCAATTTCGCCTGAATTAGAATAATGTGAAATTACACCAGTTTTTTTTTACTTAAGTACAAAAAAACTGCAGCATCACGAGGCTAAACTCTGTCTTATTTGAATTTGAATTATAAGCAAATTCCGCAAAAAGACCACCTGTCTTCGATCTTGTGTTTCATTTGATTGTGCTGACAAAAGTTTAACATGTTTATAGACTTGCTCTGGAGTAAGCCTATCCAGACGCGAAATTGCTCAGAGCGATCATGCCTACCTCCGTCGGCGTGTGTGTATTCTGTGCGTCGTATGAAGCCGAGGTACCCAGTGCGTGCGAATGTGAGACTGTCCCTGGCAACATCCCCAGTGTCCAGTCTGGCGTTCAGCTGACTACCTGGACTGCCCACTGGAGTGTCTGTGAAGAACTTGGCCACGTTGTGCTGTGAGCTCACCCAGATCTAAAAATAACAAACACATTGTCAACTTTTCCAGGGACACTTTTCCTGACATCGGGTTAATCATTGATAATATAATTTTCAGATAACTGGATGAAAAGGCAAGTTAAGCGTTGCGCTCGCCCCACAATCCAAACAACCCCTTGGTCACAAAGAGATCGTTATATCTGCAGCAACATTTGTTCTGTAATTATGGGTACCTTAATTTAATGGCAGCTTAATAAGACGCTTGAAAACATCGCCAACACACAGTTGGAAATATCCAAAAACATGGACGCTCGGAGAGCAAAAACATGATAAAATATATAGATTTTTTTCAAGTTGAATTCCCACAATCGTCACTGTTGCCACTATTTCGATAATATGGAGACCTGGTCTGTTATTATTGATGAAAGTTCAAAGTTTCACACTTTTTCCGGCTGCTTGGCATCCAGGTGCATTTCTCGTAAGAAAAAATATGTTTAATTGAGTTTTTGTATGTTCCTATTTAAATTTACTAGTCTGCAACATATTAAATGCTGGAAACTTAAAAATTACTGTTGTAAAACTACTTTTTGTAAAAAAAAATTACCGTTGTTAATTCGATATTGATAAACTTGCGTTTACTAATTTTTACAGAAAAACTGATTTATTTTGAATATGTTGCCATCTTCCCATTTTGTAGCAACACATTCAATGTGGACAGAGAAGCAAAAAAGGCAATAACTTTGAAATCAGAATGCTTCAATTAGCATACTCATTGGCAACGCAATAAACTTTCCATTGAACGAAACAAGTGGAACTGAACTTGAAAACCAAAAACACACTGCAAAAATCGAAATTTAGCAAGATATTTTTTGACTGAAAAACAAACCAGACGAATTAAATAATCAGGACAAACAGCGTAAATTCCTTCGTTCATTAACGCTCCAGAAATCCGGTGCCCAAACGCGAAAAAAAACTAATTTAAGCGGGAACAAACTAGAAGACTTATTGCTAAACAAAAACAAAAAAATCGAAATAAGTGATATTTCAGTAATTTCACTACTTTGCTCATTTAAACTTAGATAGTGATCAAACTGGAGGCAGTCACCTCTCCCAATCGAAGATCTGGACATTGTTGCAGGGTGTATGGATTAGCAATGACGATTTTCACTCCAGGCAGGATAGTAGCACTCTCGATCAACTTCAGACTTCCAGGGGCTCCCTTCGCAACCACCTCCACTCTGAAACAACACTCGTTAAAACCTTTCTGTTCCTTACTTCAACGCCGCGAGGCACAACTTTCTAGCATATTGAAAAAAATCATTCTGATCAGAAAACAAACTGCGGTAAAAAGCTGAAAAAGCTTAAAATCTCCCAGTCTCTTTGTTTGTTTCGTAGATAAATAGTTATCGCAGCCTTTATGTTGAACATTTTTCCATTCACTAACTTGCGAATGCATAAAGAGCAATAGATCGAATTCTTTGCAAACCTAGAACATGAATTATCAAACTTGTTATTTCATGAAAGCTAACAAGGTAACAAGGGCAATGACGTCAGATGAAAGCTGAGATATCATACACAAACTCATACCATCATTCTATGCTCAAGACCTCAAAGTGAGTGTCTGTGATTCTATTGACTGATCAAACATCAAACTAGCAGCTCGTCAACTGACCTGTCAAATCGCAATGCTTCTTTCGATACAAACACAGCAGAAGTGTCAGTGGAAAGTCCATTGCAGTGGAAACAGACAGCAGGGTTAACTCTGCATCCAAAAGCGGACGCTAGCACTTTGTCGTTGAGGCCTAGAGGCTTGAATAGAAGGAGAAACTGGGATATAAATGAGGCTCTTGGTCGTTCTTCGGTGACTATGACGCAGTTCCTTAAAGAGTTGAGGTTGATGCCTCGTCCTTTGAGGAGCTCTACTTGTTTGTGCAACTGGGCCACACATGTCTGGATGACTGAGGATGACACGAAGGTATCTCTTGCCGAGTGCTGACTGAGAGTGCTGAACCAGACTGCTGGGTTCATCTCCATCTCCTGGGGTGAAATGAGCACAGTCTCGTGTCCAGTGAAGACGGATAGAAAACACCAGAGCACTAGACTCATACCAGAGAACGGTTCCAAGCACAGCACCAGCTGAAGCAATGAAACCCAATCAACAACAAACTAGTACCAAAAAATCCGAGTTCAATTATATCACAGCAGAAATTCTACTAGCAAAATGTTAGTTTCTATTTCAAAACAGAAGCAATGATTAGTTTTATTTCAGTTATCAATAAAAAGAGCTCAAAACTCAAAATATATATTCAATTAGTCACCTTTCTGGACGGATACAGTTCCAGAGCGCGTTTCATGGACCTACAGCACGCAGCCAACTGTGCATGGCTCACTTCCACTCCTTGCAGTATACCCTGTGCGGAGACTGACAGGTCCAGATAGCAGGTGGATCCTGGCCCGTCTTTTGGCAGGTAGTTTTCCAGTTGCACCCTCCCACGCATAGTCTCGTCTGCGTTGATCAGAGGAGGTAGAGGCTTCGCTCCTCGGATTTCCTGCAACATATCACAACATTAGTTTCGACTACAGATTATAAACAGACTTCCTACCAGTGAAGCCCATATTATTGTGAAGCAAACCAATTTGAGAAAACTGGATCAATGGGTAAAATTTTATTTTGCTGAGAAATCTGATAATTTAGTCCCATTTTCGATATTAGAGAAATCTCGACGTTTTTCGTGACCTTTACACTTTTGCTGTTTGATAGTGGAGTTATTTTTCTTTTTCTGAACCAAGGACATGAACTGAACTTAACTAAAATGAAATGAGCTGAACTATATGAAATGAACTAAAAGAAATCAAAAGTCAAACCGCCAAAAAGTTAATTTGAGTCTGAACAATATTAAGGACTTTTCCAAAAAAAAATGCAAAATCTTATTACGACCTATATAAGAGTCTGAACTACGTTCATCGACTCTTAAACATAACAAATAATAAACACGGAGCAAAATTCACAGACCAGATGAAAATCTTTGCTCATCTATTTTTTGTCAGTTCTGACCTTTGAATTTTTGAGGGATCTGACTAGGTGCGAGCTTGTGACGATGGCGACCACTTTTGAAGCGGCCACCAGCACTTTCACAGTCGACAAGAACTTCTCTGCATGCTCTGCTGTTCCTCCACTTCCAGTGCTAATATGCAAAGAAGGTGGGGCTCTTAATAATACTGGAATACATCCAGCATATAATACTGCGTATAGGCCTATAATTAGCTCCAGGCCCGCCGGGTATAGCACGGCTACGTGCGATCCAGGGTTCGGACACCTGGCTTTGACTAGCATGGCCAGACGTTCCGCTCGCTTCTTAAGCGTGATTGCATCCATCTGACAAATGGGAATCGCTTTTGAGTTCATCAGCGTAAATAGTCGGCTGTTGTTCTGCTCGTCAGCTCCTCGCCATTTTAGCACCTCGTGAACATATTGCATACTGGGGTTATCGTCGCTCATTTCTCCTGTTCCTTGCAACCCGTGAGCCGGGATTCCCATCGGGTCACCTCCTACCAACATACTGAAGGGTTCACCCGAGTCTTGATTCATTTCAGCTTTCGGAGGTTTCAAGTTTCTGACGCAGGCCATCGGCTGCATTAACACATTACATGGGTTCAGGCGGCCTTGCAGGAATCGCTTTTTAGTTTCGTTTAAATTTAACCCACTCAGATCTGTTTTGGGTATTCCGTTTCTGGGTAGCAATGCTAGGCAGTACAGGTCGATACCGTGGATCCTAGGAATCAATTGGACTACATTTTGCATCCAGGCTTGACTTTCGGTGTCATCGTTTTCTCCCGCTGGGTAATTTCTCTGCTCACAAACGACCACAATTTTATTCCTCCGTTTTACTTCAATCGTAAAAGCCACCACTCGGCCGCGGAAAACAAAGTTCGGCGGGTCCACTCCCAAGATAGTTGCAACAATGTCATCCGAGTTATGCATACGACCGTCCACAAAAAGAACATTGTCCGTTTTGCCGACAATGAATACCAGATTACTAGGACCAAGGAAACCCAGGAGTCCAGTTCGGACATAATACTCGCTTCTGATTGGCCGCCCGTCATCACTCAAAGGTTCGACCTTGAATGTATTATTTGTGAACCCGTTGAAGTTCCAGTATCCCTGTGCTGTGGCCTGGGATGCCAGACATATTTCGCCCACTTCGTCTATCTTACATAGGTATGGCCTGTATGTCTCTTTGCCTTTCCAGTTGTGTGCCACTCGGGGTTTGATAACTGCAATTGACGCTGAAAAATAGAGCAACTTTTTACACTGCCGTTCGACAGATATTAAAGGTCTCAAAGTGTTTCACGTTTAATTTAACAGTCAAAAACATAAGCAGATATTAGGAAAAACTTTTTCAAAAATTCTAGTTTCTTTTAGCAGCCGTTGGAGCGATGTTAAAAAGCCCAATTTTAGATTTTGTGACAACTTAAAGAAGTGCCTTTTTTTACATGTAAAGGATAATTCGAGCCTAATTCAGAATTTCGCTCTGGAATAGAGTCAAGAAGAAATTGAAAACATAAATTGTCAAGTAGTACAACTAAACAGCACATACCACGACATAAGAAGACCATATAAGGTTCGCTACTCTGCTCTTCAATTATAGCCTTTCAGTTACTTTATACTAGCTTGAAATAAGAAGACAAATGTTTGGGTATTATGCACAACCGGCAGTCTGCTGGACCAGAAACCATTTGATTATACTTGAAAATAGTAAATCAAATTTGAATATTGGCTGAAGGGGAAATGTAAACAAGTTGGACCATATTTGCCACTTATTATTCACAACACGATACGAAACGCCACATTTAACACTTCGAATAAATCGAATATCTAAGGCACGGAGTTTTTTGATGAAAAAAAAACGATGAAGCAGATATCAATGAAAGCTTTTAATCTTTGAACGATTGAGCTCGCTTCAACAATTAACACAGAGGCGATACAAATAAGAATGAGCTTGATTAAAATCAAACGGAAAAAAAAAGAAAACAAAATCGTTTTTGTCAATAAAAATTGCAACAAAAGTCCAAAATATCTGGAACAAAATTTCCTGTGCCAACTTTACGAAGAGCTTTGGGAATACTAAAAAGAAGGCAAGTTTTTCAAAAAAGTTCTTTTTGCGAAATTAAGCAGACGAAAAGAAGCGGTTAGACAATAATCTAAATTAGTCAAAATTTTCTAATTTTCTATTTGCGAAAAGAAACTGGTCTCAACTGGAATCGAACTACCGAGACTTTGTCGATTCAAGCATGGGGTTTACAGCAATTTTGAATGAAGCTGAACCATCGATCTACGGGAACCAAGCCAACAAAAGACGGATGATAACCCGAAAAAGTCCAAAAACTCTTAGTTTGCAAAAAAAGGGGCCGGCCGGATTCGAACCGCAAACCTTTGCCGTCTCAAGCTGTTGTATTACCCTATGCCAGACGCGCCGGATGGTTGATTGGATTTTAATTTATAATTACCAAGCGGTGACAAAGATGAAAAAAAACCTGAGCAGAAACCCTTCATGTCGAAAAAAATCAAAAAAATTCTTAACTTATAAAAATTTTAAGTACCTTTTCCCTTCAGAGCATAATTCTTTTTTCGGTCGTAACGACGCAATAAGAGGCCACTAAGTCGACAAAACAAGCAGACAAATAAGGAGCTGACAATTTTGTTTGAACCGGAATAATTACCGTGTGAAAAAAAACTAGTCCTGGTCAGATTCTAACCAAGGACCTTTGCCGTCCCAGGCGAAATCGTTACCACCAGGCTAACTGTGCAAAAGACACTGCAAAATTTTAATGCATTATGGACCAAGGTACATCAGGAATACAATCAATCTTGTGACAGAGTTGTTGACGGGAAAAAAGTCTAGTACCCGATTGTAAAACCCTTGCTTATCGCACAGGTAAAAACCTTCAAATGAGGAAACATAGCCTTAAGTTATTTGAAAACAGTTGACGAACTCAAGGAAAACAAAAATATTAAAACCAATTTTCATAGAACAAAAACTATCACCTTAAAGCTCCTCAAAAATCAAGAAAAGTTTCTAATAAACCCAATCTGACAAAACTGATCATCAGGTAATTTTATCCGCTGAAAATTCTGAAAAAAATTATGACTACTACTTATGACAAATGAAAACTAAGCAACAAAAGTTGAGCCATTCACACTTAATATTAGAGCAACGTAATTTTTTCTGCATCAAAAATGAATATGAAACAGTTTAAAAAAGAACATTGCCAACAGTTTGAAAAGAGTCAATGAACTTGCAAAGAAAAGTCAAATCTTGCTTATTTTGTGAAAAAACTTCAACTTTCGAATTTCTGAGAAATATATATATATATATGGCCTTAAACCTCTTGGAATTTCAATATCAATTTTTGATTGTCAGTTTATTGTTAAAAATAGTCCAATTTGAGAAAACTTGAGGAATTGTAAATTTTTTATTCCGTTGCGAAATTTGAAAATTAACATTCATATTCGCAGCTAGAAGTCGATCAGGTTTTTTGCGACCTTTACAATTTTGTTCTACGATGGCTGCGATTACCTTCCTTTAAACAAAGGAAATGAACGGAATTTAAAATATCAACAGGAAAACCGCGAAAAATCAAATTTGAGCGAGAACAAATTTTAAGATTTTTCCTGAAAAAATCACCATGACCTATATATCAGTTCACTAAGTTCATCTATTCTTGAAAATCACAAAACCAGACCACTTAAAATTAAATTTGAGAAAAAAAATTATTGACGTTGTTCCTTGAAAACCACATGATCTAAAAAAAAAGAAACTGAAAAATGACTCACAAGTGGGCATAATGAAACCGGAGTCTTGAAGAGTGAGAACAGTAGCTCCGTCGTCAGTCGTGGACTCTATCTTGACCACTCCATAGCTCAGAGCACGGATGTTCAGACAGCCCCTGCCCGGCTGTTCAGAGTTAGGACGCCTGATGGAGACTGTCATCGCCTCCGTAGATGTAGCACAAGGGCACAGCACCTACAACTCCATCCAAATTATTCACAGTACGGATTGAAATGTATTTTCTGTTGCGTACAAATTAGAAATCGATCACGTTTTTAGTGATCTTCACAATTTTGCAGTTCGATTAGCGAGTTTCCCTTCCTTGTCAATAATGAAATAAACTGACCGTAAAAATCAAGTTTAACCGCGAAAAATTAAATATGAGCGTGAACAAATTCTAAGACTATTTTCTGAAAAAAAAATCACCAAGACCTATATAAGTCTTGACTACATTCATCGGCTTTTTTAAAAAAAATTTGTTGAAGAAAAAATTTTATTTGCACGCTTCCAATATAGTTTTGCCGGAGTAAAACAAAAATTTTCAGTTCTTAAATGAAAACTTTAAATTTAATTTCGATTGCGTAATTTATTTCGAGCGAGCTTTATTCGCTCGATATTAAACTTAATTTCAAAATTTCAAACCGGTGTCTCAATTTTAATGTCGTTCGAATCATGACTGAAAAAGCTTAAATGTGATATATCACTCGGCCCATTATGATGATTATTAGTGGTACCTGATTTTGCTTGAAAACTATAATACCCAAGGACAAAAGTTCCTCATTTTGAATATTCGGCACAAAATGTTCCGATCAAATTGATTTAAGAAAAAATATTCAAAATTGACACAGAGGAAAAGCTGAGCTTCGCACCACTTGCGATACAAAACAAGAGAGCCGCTAAGTCAGAAAAAAAGTTCAAATTTCAAAAAAAAATTAGGTCTATCAAAAAACAATAAGGCTAATTTTCAAATTAAAAAAAGACAATGGAATGTGAAATGAGCATCAGAAGAAAATTTACCAAACGGTAACAAAGCCAAAAAAATACCTTGGCAGCAATCCTTTAAGCCAAAAAAAATCAACAAGACTTAAGATAATAAGTCCCACTCGCCCTCAAACCACAGATATGCACACACAATTTTTTTTGGTCGCCGAAAGACGCAATACAGCCATTAAACCGATTTAATAGAGGCCAGATTATATTAAGCCAAAGAAAAAGAAAAAGCCAAAAAAACTCTGCCGTGAAAAACGAAGTAAAATTTCTATTAAGATTTGTATTATTTGTGCGATTCAGAGGTGAGCATAATATTTTTGCTTTCCGTGAAACCAATCGAAATTAGGTCACGTAGCCGATAAAAAAAGCCAAAGTCATTTGGAATTAATAAAGTTTTTAGGCAAAAAAAAAGAAAACATAAAAAGTCAAGGTTAACAAAAATTACAAACATCTGAGGTAAATCCGAACACTTGCAACTATCAGAGCAACTATGTCTCAGATTTTTTCTAAAAACAACAATTCTACAATAAGACAACTAAGCCAACAGAACATAAGCAGACAAATAATGAGCTGACAATTTTTTTTAAGAAATGGAATATTTCCGGTTTAAATAAATGTACTGTCAGATTCGAACCCAGGACCTTTGCCGTCCCAGGCGTATTAGTTGTCTTCAGACCAAGTGTCACGGAGACACAAAGAAGATTGAATGAATTAAGAACTGAACTTAAATTTACCATTTCTAATTTTGATCACTCTGTGTTTAAATTTATTTACGGGGAAAAAGTCTAGTTCCCGATTACAATATCATTGCTTATCGCAAGGATGAAGAAATGTTTTTAATATCGAAAAATACACATAATTTTGTTTCGTTGCCTAAATTTCTGTTTCCTAACTTTAGTTTAGTACTCCTGAATGATCGCATCAAAATATAATACTTCCTTTGAAAAAAAAAATGTGACACAAAGGCGAAGCTTAGCTTCGCAAACGCTAGCGAGAACATGAAAATAGCAGCTCTAGACAAAGCAATAATAGAAAATAGAAATATGCCTCAAATAAGTGAAAATTCGGTAACGTCTCGAATTCCATTTGCGACCTAGAGATTATGAGACTCACGCACTAACCACTCAGCCAGGGGCGCTTAATAAATCACAAAAACTAGCCCCAAACAAAGCAGAGAACAGATGCTATGAAACTTCCAATGCTACAGATCGTGATTATAGCATAAGTGCCGCCAAATAAAAGATGCAAGTGAAGTTAGAAAAATAAAGAAAGTTCGTACTAATACACTACGCTCGCAAGCTTGCTAGTTTAAAAAAAACAACCCCTCTCGCATAAAAACATAACCCTGGTTCCGCCAACTTTATTTAACCACTCCCGAATGATCACATCAAAAATATAATACTTTCTTAGTAAAAAAAAACATGCGATCAATGAACTAACATCATTGCTTTGTTTGAGCTTTAAAAATCGAATAAACCGCATGGTGGCTTTACCTCTGGTCTGAAGCCGCATCTGGCCTTGAACAGGTTGCTGAATGAGTCGCAGATGCTTACTGCCCAGGGGTTGCTTCCGTCTGTCATCAAGAGCAGCTTCAGGAAGCGCAGGTCTATTTGGGACTGGTTAGTCGCCATCTGACTCACCTGCGCAGTCGCCCAATGCAGGTCCCTGCTCTTAACTATTGCACTCGATGCTACAAAACACAGCAAACTATTAAATCAGAACACCTAAAAACAATTGAACTTATTTGTTGGTTAATACAAGGGAGCCCGAGTTTCAATGAGCTTTTTGATTTTGGAAAATGAATATAATACACTAGTCTAAACTGCATGGTTTTTTTCGAGAAAAAAATTGATTCACTAGCATTAATTCTAACAGTTTCAATTGAAAAAGTACTTTTTGGGTGATAAGCGAACAAGCCGAAGGGCCAACAAACCAAAAATAAGATTACCATTCCAACAAGCCGAAAAATGTTATTATTATGCAACATTACAACAGATTGCCAGTTGTTATGCAATTGGTACGTAATTCTGATGCAATTTACTTTATTCTTATGTAATTTTAGCTTCAAGATATGCCGGTTTGTAGATATGGCGGTTTCTTGATCATCCGCCTTTCTTGAAACTCTTTGGTGTAAGCTCTAGCTGTCATATAAAGGTAAATTACAACTTCCGCCGATATCCGAAAAATACGGCAATATGATTCTGACCTTTATTCTTCTGCGTTACATAGAGCCATTGCATTGGATCCTGCTTCATGAGTGAGTATGGAATAAAAATGACATGCATGCCCGTGAACACAGTGGCCAACACTCCGTGCCACAGCCCCACGTCTCTTCTGAAGTCCGGAATACACACAATCGTCTCTCCCCTCTGGTAGTTGCAACAGTACCTCAACTTCTCACAGTGTGCATCTACTGCAGGTTTGCACACCAACACCCCTTTGTTCACGCCGTGCGAGTCAGTGGTCAGTTCTATGTAGGCCTCTCTGATCTCTTTGGCTTGTGCGCGTGCTCCTGTGCTGCTCCAGCCTCTGGGCACTCCCGTTTTAATTTTGTCAGTTGGAACCCACGTTAGACGAGGCCAATTCTGAAAATGTCGGTCAATTTATGTTGTTCAAAGCATTCGATACAACACATCAAATACAAACAATCGTAACCGTTCACTACATCAAGATAGCAAAAACAGTTTATTGACCCTAACTTGTAACTATACTTTGAGCTATAATACCGAGAAGAGAAGCAACCACAAACTTTTCATTGGTTTTACACAAAGTATTGGTTTCATTTTAACCCAATAAAAAAACTTATCAGATTGGTCCAAAAACCTAACTTTCCGCTGTTAAATTTTTTTCATCTCTCATGGTCTATATAATCACTCTAAAATTAACGCGTAAAAAGTCCTTAAAGGTGTAACTTTTCCATTGTTTTTAACTCAACCATTTACTTTAAAGTGTGCAATTTCTCCGTCAATGTCTTTTGGGAAGTTCTTCATGCAGGCACTGGTTGTTAGTGCAACAGTTATGTTACAGTTCTGGAGCATGAAGCCAACATCATCAGATCCGACGTCAGCTTTGGACACTGGAACGTCGCAGGGAACAGGGATTACTCCTGCCATCTGACAACCGTAGAATGCACACATAAACTGACTTGGTTCCCAGTTTGGAAAAACGAGAGCAACTCTGTCACCGGGTTTCAAAAGAGGATTTGGGAGTCTTCTTGTGGTTTGAGTTAAATGGACAGCGATTTGTTCCGCTTTAGAAAACAGGGTCCCGTAGTTGAGCTGCTTGTATATTTTGCCGCTTTTTTCTATTTGGCTGATGCAGTTTAGTCTGGCACATTTGGTGCCAAAGTAGTGCAAAGCACCTTCTAGACTGTCGGGAACGTCAGGGTCGTGCGACACCTAAAAATTCGATCAAAAACCATCAGAGTGTAAAATAACAGTTAAAAGCACTTTCATTCAGAAGCAACCGTTAATCGAAGAACAGCATCGGCTGCAGATAAACTATGGACAACCTACTCGCAATTAAATGCGGAAACAATTCAAGTTTGATTTCAAGTTAATAGTACTTGATTTTGCATACAAAGTAACCTAGGATACTAACAGAGACTTGCTCCCCGTCCTGGGGCACCATTGTTTCGATGCCAGGCCTCGGCTTCTCACTCTCGTACAGTTCATCCTCGCCTTCACTCGAGTCCTCTTTGTAGTAGTCCTCTAGGGGTTTCCGTCTGGCCTGGTATGTAGGTCCTCCGGGGGCCTGTGCATAGCGCATTCTATTCAGTGTATCCGAGTGGGACTGCACTCGCTCTGAAACGAAACTAAATCGGTTCGGGTTGTACTCGACGTAGTCGGGCGACGGAGACCGTCTCAGATCCGAGTTGTGAGACCCAGAGGGCGTCACTTTATGATAATACTGGTAGGATTTTGAAGGCGGGATCTGATTGTTGTTGTTGTTCACATGAAAGCTACTGTTCACATCTCCACGTTGAGGTACTCGGTCCAAGGTATGTGATACAACCTCTGTAGGATGCATAGGGTTAACATGGCGCGACTGCCTACTAATATGCTGCTGGGATGCTTGTGCGTGTGAGTTTCTACAATCGGTGTTAAGAGATTGAAACGTGGTCAACACTGAACGAGACACAGAACGGGCTAAAACATGCACATGCACAAGGAAAAGAAAACAGACAGAGTTACAATTCCGGCGAGGGAAGAACAGAAAAGAAACGCCCATAGGGTAAATTAAATCTACAGTACTACAGGAGAAAGGAGAAGAATAGAGAAAAGATTTCAACTACATCTAACGTGTGATTTGCTAAAAATGACCGCTTTATTATGCAGCCAATCTAAAAACAGTTTTGACGCATTACTGCGTTTCTAATGTTCCTGCATGGAAAGAAAGATTTGTTAAGTTGATTTTTTTTGATTTTATTGAGCTTACGTACTGAGACTCGATACTTTAACTTCTACCAGGCGGATTTGATGCTTTTATTTCCAACCAAAGGGCCGAATTAGAACTAGACTCAATGACCACCTGAAGGATCTCCCTTAGGTTTAATTTTATTACTTCATTTTAAGGAGACTTTATTTTGAAGAGAATTGATCCTGACAAAAAACGACATAAATAGCAACGCGAAGCTGTTGTAAGAGAAAAAGAAGCCTTCAATTATCCGTAGGGATGTATCATCAAGTTGTTTTACACCATTTTCGGTTAGTGGCGAGAAATATTTTACACAAGGTTGCTTACACTCATCTAGCTGAAATTACACAAGCAAGCCAGCACTTTGCAAACTGGTTTTAGTTTGCTTACTTACTCGAGGATATGAGCAAAAACAAAGATTTTTTCATTTGAGCAAAAACATTTAAAACAACCACTTACTAGTTATTTTAACTTTTTTTCTCCCATGAAATTATTTCAAATGGAACGTAATATGCGAATAATTTTTGATTTACTGACGCGACAATTTACCGACAATCTTTCATAGCACAACATGCAAGCAGACAAAATTCTACCATTAAAAGTTCTTCATATTCATCATTTTTGGAAAGTACTCAAAACCAACATTCTGTTTCCTTAAAAATCTTTGAGTTCTAACGAGTGGCACTATAATAAAGCATTATAGACTTCAAGTCACTTATCATTTTGCTCATGTGCTACTTCCGATTTCTTCCGGCATTATATTGTCAATTCCAAACGTATATCAACTTTTAGAAGAAAAAATAACGTTGAAAAGCAATCGGTTTCCTAAGCAATCATGGATTTATGATTCAAGCTATCTGAAGCGGGCTATCGAAGTCATAATTTTTTAAAACTTATTTTGTTATATTAGCTTGCCTCAGCCGGATTAAATTAGTGACTAAGTTTTAATAGAAACGCGGAAATGTAGCTTGAACGCAGAAGCGATGCGGAGCTTCGCGCCACTTGCGATACAACACAATCATAAAAAAATTAAAAATGTTGAAAAAAACTAGGCGAACCGAAATTTTAGTATAACTCGATGAAAAACACCTAGCACCTAGGTCCCAGGCAAAGCTGGATATACGTGTTTTGATATTTTTGAATTGTTATACTGATGCGGTACTAAATGCGTTATTTCAAAAATTGGACTTTTCTTTACTAAATTCATAAGAGTGAAAATTTGAGATTTGTGAAATTTCCCACAGACATAACCTTTCTCTTACAATGAAAAAAGTAGCCGGTTCTGCATAAAAATTCGCGCAACCGTTTCTTTCGATTGAACTTTTCATATCAGATTTGATGGGTAATTAAGAAAATTCGAAAAGTTTCTAAAAAACGGCCAAAGTTCAAAAATCCGAAACTTTTTTCTCCTAAAAACAGTTCGTGGCTGGTAAAGTAGAGAAGATTCCTAAAGTCGGGTTTCTCGATTGAACACTTCAAATGAGAATAGGCACGCTAATTTTCGAGCAAAGTCACAAAACTTCTAACCAACGAGCGAAGCTTCAAAACTTTCACTTGATTGAAGGCCAAACTTTTTTTCCAAAACTGGGCATAACAAACTCCAAAGGTAAGCTTCCAACAACATTTTGTGTCAATTACTTCTATGATAACAGTTTTGGCATGATATTGATAGAGAAAAGTCCAAAAAACGGTCAACAAATCAGATAATTGACCTTTCCGAGAATCATAGCTTTTTGTGCGTAGACGGTTATGCATTAGAGATTCGACCAGCCTGTAATTTCGATTGAACCCGAAAACCCAGGTTTGGCAGGGTAGTTAACGAGAGAAGTCAAAAAATTTCAAAAATAGCGAAAAACAACAACTTTTTGACTTTTCCGAGGGTCATAAGTTCTCGTGTCAAAAAAATTGGGCGTAGTCGCGTACGCAAAAGAGCTTCCCACAACTCATTCTTTGGATTGAACCCAACCTATCAAATATGGGAGATCATTTTTTGGTAAAATTCGTAAAATTTAAAAAAAAAACGCCCAAAAAATCAACAAATTGGCTTTTTCCGAGGATGATAAATTTTTATGTAAAAAAATTGGGAGTGGCCGCCAATGCAGGAGAGCTTCCAACTACCCGTACTCTCCATTAAACACACAGCATCAGGTTTGGGAGGTTAGCTTTCAGCCACAACATCAACCGCATATGAGGTGCGGTGGCAATCCAAATCCACTGGATTCATTGAAACGAAAATCTCACAGATTGGGTTGGTCAGTTTTAGAGATTAAATATTCCCCCAGACTTTTTCGAACGCTGTTGGCAAAGTGTTACAGCAAAGAGAAGCCAGGGGAGTATGCAGGCACACAATTTTGAAAATTGGTAAAAGCATTTTTGAGAAAAAAAAGTATAATAAAACTATATTATAAAAGTTTCCAAAGCATCTCAAAATAACCAATCTCAAACATTTTCATGATACCTGTTTTTATGGAACAGGAAATCTAGGCAAACATGCCAAGCAAGACATCTAAAACTCAATTAGAAACTGAACAATTCTGCAAAGCGGAAACAAGGCCGACAATCTTTGAGCAGACACCAGCTAAGCCGAAAAAAAAATCGACTTTGCAAAAAACTTTTCAAAGTTTCATTCCCCCCCCCCCTGTAACACCACCCAACCAATATTTAATAGTAACTTAGTACCCGCTGATAAGTGATTCAACTGATTTTGTTAAACTGTTTGTTAACCCAAAAAGTCTACATTCCTATTTGATAACGCTTGCTTATCGCAAGCGTAATTAATTTTCCCAAATTGGCTATCTTTTAGCTAACAACTTTAAGAACAATCTTAAATCACCTTGTCTTAGACATAATGAAAAAACTTTGATCTGATGAAAAAAATTGCAGATCATAAATAGTCCATCTTTCCAGAGAACTTCGGAACAATAACATTTAAACATAGGCGCTACGCGCAATACACCGAAGGCATAGAAACTGAAGCAAAAACCAAACAACTTGAACAACTAATAATTGAAGAATAACAGTTCTAGAACAAAAAATCGTACTAATACATGTATACACCAAAATTTTGCTATATCGAGAAAGAGCCTGAAATAACAGTTCTAGAACTAAAAATCGTACTAACACATGTATAGGTTAAATTTTTGATATATCAACGAAGATCATAAAATAACACTTCTAGAACTAAAAATCGTACTAACACATGTATGCACCAAAATTTTACTATATTGACAAAGGGCCTGAAATAACAGTTCGTGAGCTAAAAATCGTACGAACACATGTATACACCAAAATTTTGCTATATTGGCAAAGATCATGAAATAACAGTTCGAGAGCTAAAAATCGTACTAACACATGTATACGTCAAATTTTTGCTATATTGACAAAGATCATGGAATAACAGTTCTAGAGCTAAAAATCGTACTAACACATGTATACACCAAAATTTTGCTATATTGACAAAGATCATGGAATAACAGTTCGAGAACTAAAAATGGTACTAACACATGTATACAATAAAATTTTGATATATTGACAAAGATCATGAAATAACAGTTCGAGAACTAAAAAATCGTAATAACACATGTATACACTAAAATTTTGATATATTGACATAGATCATAAAATAACAGTTCGAGAACTAAAAATGGTACTAACACATGTATACGCTAAAATATTGCTATATTGACGAAGAGCCTGAAATAACAATTCTAGAGCTAAAATCGTACTAACACATGTATACACCAATATTTTGCTATATCGACAAAGAGCCTGAATAAACGTTGTAGAACTAAAAATCTTACTAACACATATATACACCAAAATTTTGCTATATTGACAAAGAGCCTGAAATATTGACAAAGGACCTGAAATAACAATCGTAGAACTAAATGTCGTACTTACGCATTGTAGATCAATTTCTATAGCTATAATAAAATACAAAAGATTGTGTTTGTATGTGTAGCAAAACGCCTCCTGTCGTTTCAATCGGCCAATCGTATAAATTGGCATGTAGACTCAAATGGGTCTCCGGAATAACTAGAAATCGTACTTACACATATACTTACAAGAAAGAGCTAAAATGAAAAAAAGCTATTAGTCTTATTATATAGAGAAATTGTGAAGCAGTCTCAGAATTGACAGTATGTAGCAGCAAAACAATCCGAAAAACAAATCCAAAAAACAAAAAAAAATACTTGCAAAGACATGACACAGATCTGACAAATGTACCAATGTTGGTATTCATGAACAAAACTTCAATCAGGTAAAGATATCAGTTAAGTATTCCACGAAATCAAGTTCAAATTCAACCTTCAAAAACCGGCAAGTAATAAAAATGACATAAAACTTCAACGTTCAGCGTCAAACTGATTACGGAACGTCAAATTTAAACGGACGCCATTCCATTTCTCAAACGATCCATCGGGTGCAGTGGATCCTCTCAAGATGCTGTGCTTCCAGTCTTTCTGGCAAGCTCCGAGCATTGTAAAAACGCTACCATGTGGCAACAAAACAGAAACTTCAGAGCGCGTGGTCCCGTTTCTTTTCATTGCAAAGCGTCGGGTGGCTCCAAGGGATACGCTGGCAATGGTTGGTTAATCAGGAATACCACGTTCGTTGTCAGCGTGAAATCCAACTCCCTAAAAATACTGATAGGCAAAGTACATTTTCTATGTTATCTAATTGTTATGACGGTATTTTGTGATATTACCTCTTCGAGGGAACAATAAATGTTGATGAGGACACTGTTGAAGGAAACTTTGAGTTCTTTCTCCAACAAGGTCTTTAACAACAACAACTGTGGTGACCAAGAGTTGTTGGGCGGGTGGCGAACGCTTCCATATGAGTATGGAACCTCTGAAATCCACTTGACAGAGCGCCCGTTGACATGTGTCCAAGATTCCTGTTTGTATGATTTGTAAAGCTCTGCAAAGAGGGAATCAGCTATGCTCAAAACAGATTTATTGCAAACGTCAAGGGAAATTTGAGAGACGCCAAACACTGAAGATGAGCTGATAGTAAACGGCTGCAAACATAAAATTATGACATTTAAGTGCTCAGTGGAATACAACAGAAAAAAAAATAGAATAGACAAAAAGTATTTACCACGGCAGATGTCAAAAGAGTTAAGGATACTCTCTCACAAATTAATTTCGCCAAATTCAGGCAGCCCATTTGCGACAAATGAACACCATCGGTAGATAAATGTGTGTAGCGCAATAGTCCAACGGGAATAAATGACCAATCTGAAGACTTGATGGCTGTATCCAACGCGCGGATTTCACGGTAAAAGTCCTTGCGAACAATTGGACTAAAAATACAATGTAGTTTATTTTTTCTCAAAACTTCATTAAAAAAACAGCAAAACCGATACCTGATGAACAATGTACATTATTATTATTACTGAATTAGTCATTTTATGAAAATGTTACCAAAGGAGCAGGACTTCAAAGCCAGCATCGCGAAGAGGAGAAGCAAGTGACATAATCAACATAGCAAGTGTGGCCTTTGCCAAGCTCGCGAGAGAAGCATCGGTATGGGCAATGCTTGGTTGTAACACAATATCTTGTTGGCGGGGACACATGTCGTTTGCACCAACAGCAAGAATAACGCGAGCTGGTTTCAAGGCTTTTATCTCTTCGACATGAGTGTCATTGATGGTACTGACTTTCAGTCCAGATTTCACTACAACCGACGTATCGGAAAGTCTGATAAGGTATTCGTTAAATCCTTTTAACATAGAATCGCCAAACAAAACAGTGGACGTCATTTCTGAAAAAAAAATTATATCACCATCATTGTGTTATAAATACATACACAGAAATAATAAAAGCAAAACTAAATGAAAGAAAGAATAATTAAATAAATAAACAAAACACGTGATAAAAATAAACAAAAATAAATATGTACATACATAAATTATAAATAAATATAAGCAAACTAAACATAATTAAATAAATAGAAGAACAGATAATTAAATAAATAAAGATGAACAAATAAAGAAACAAACATACGCAATCACGTGACATAGCGCGATATAGTCCAGCCCACATGATAATTGATAACTGTGGACGTTATTTGTCGACACTTGACAACAGACAACATTAAAAAAAAAACCCCCGTTACACGATACCATAACACCTTGACTAAAGTCTTCGGTGTAATAATTGCGTGTATTACGCAAAATTAAAAACCCTCGACTTATTGCGATTTGACCAAGCAACATTTGCTTGCTCGAACTACTCGGCCAGTTTTTTAGATCACAAATACTATGAATCAGCTAAAATGATACGATTATGCATTGTGATTAAGATGAACTTCACTAAACTCATTATGCATTAGAACATAAACTCGTTACGCAAATCTCTTCACAATTCATAACCCTTTAATGATTGAAATTTTTCTGATAAAATAACCTAATTGAATAGCATAGTTATTCGGAATTTCGAAGAAGAGGCAGAATATTTATACTGAGAGTCATTTTTTATTCAGACTTTGCACCTAAGCAATTTTTTACCTGCGAAAACAAAATTTTACCTAAGGATTTTAGCAAAACTATGAAGGTTTGAAAATTGCAAATTTGGGATTATTGACGCCCGATATATTGCATATTATAACACGCGTAAGCGGCGGATAGATGCGTTACAAATTAAACTAAGTCAATCATGTACAGTCTTACTATACGGAAACGAGACAGTCATTTATCCCTTTATAGTTTATATTAGCGTTTGGGGAAAAAATTGAAAAAATTGTGGAAAAAATCAAATATTTCGTCAATTTTCCAAGCAAAGTACTTTTTAATTGGACTGAAAGAGCATTCGGAACATTCGGGGCTTCGCGCTGATATACGAGCAGTCTTTTTTTCTCTTCCAATCGAATGGCATAAGCGAACCGCCAAAAAAGTAACACTAGTAAAATGAGGGCTCACAATTTTCGAGTCGTTTGCTGCAAAACTGCAACGAGCCTAAATTAAATGAGAATGTCGTTGAGCTATTGTTCCGATTTTCGTTGAAAGGATGAAAACTTGTGCTCGGTGGGTGTGTTAACAAATATTACTGAAAAAGATAAATATTACGTGCCATTGAACTATTTCTGAAAAGAATGAGCGATATTATCTAGAAGTAAAAAAAAAATTCATAGAAAATTTTTGTAAAAATAAGACGAAAAAACATAACCAACAGACAGTTGGAAAAAGAGTCAAGGAACGCAAGGAAACAAAAATAAGGACATTTTTTTTGAAAAAATTCAAATTTCGAATTTCAAAAAAACTATGGCCTTAAACTAATGGAATTTCAGGAGAAATTTATGATTAAAACATTATTGATAAAATTAACCCAATTTTAGAAACCCGGATCAATGGGAATGGGTAAAATTTTGGAAAATCTTAAAACTGATTTCCATTTTAAAAACTAGCAGTCTTTCGCGTTTTTCTTCCACTATTTTGGAGAGTGAATTTCGCTTACGTGAATTAAACTCAAAAACTGCATTTATACCAAAGCGCATTCATAAATGCATAAATATTTTTAACGCACATCTGAATTTACTAGAGCGTTTTAGGACTTTCCCTGGAAAAAAAAACAAAAGGAATCACCAAGACCTATAAAAGAGTCTTCACTACGTTCAGCGACACTTGAACAGAAAAAAAAATTCTTCTGTTCTATTTTAACACTAAACAACACACAACCAGAGGAGCACTCGAGTTGCCATTGCAATACAAAAAATTCATAGAATAATTTTTAACAAAAAAATGAGCAAAAAAAATGAACTTGAGCGGTAGCCTTTCAGACTAGTTAAGTCTTCCTTTTTTTGAAATGAAACGGCCACTTTTCCGAAGAATATGCGCTAGAAAAGATTGACATTTTTAAACAATTTTTGTCGGACAAAAGAATAGAAAAACATAAACTGTACGAAAACACATTCCCAAAAAAGGCGCTAAAAAATCTAACTTTATTCGAGTAAAATCATATTAAAACTTGGCTATTTCGAAGGCCATAACTTTATGTTTAACAAAATTTGGGCGTAGACGCTCATTCAGGGAGCTTTTTAGAGTCGTTTCTATTAATGGAATTTTAAATGTCAGATTTGAGAGGGGTAGTTTTTGAGAAAACGAAAATAACAAAAATATGGGTCAAATATTCCCCCCAGAAGGCTGTAGACAGAGCGATCAAAAAAGAACAGACTCTAGGGGAGCATGCAGACACAAACAAGAGAAGGCTTTCTTTAAGTTGATAACCTTTTTTTGAAAATCAGTAGAAGCTTCGAGAAAAAAAATGTTTATAATAAATTAGGAAATAAATTTCAATAACGAAAAAAAGACATTTCAAAAACCCGATTGGTAAACATGCACAGAACTTGAAAAGTGCGGAGGAGAGTGTTCAAGTTGTGTTTTCCCTGAAATTACCCACAATTAGGTCATTAAGCCGATAAAAAATAAGCCTAAATAAGTCAAGGTTAGTAGAATTACAAATTGTCGGAGTAAATCAAACAGTAGAAGCAACAGTATAGAAAAATGCACGCAGCAAAAAATACAATTCTAAGATGGGACAACTCAGCCGACAAATAATTGTCCGACTATTTTATTTGAAACAGAAAATTTCCCTCTTAAAAAAAAAGTATCTGGTCACATTCGAACCCAGGATCTTTGCTGTCCCAGACATGTTCCCTACTTCCGGGCTAAATTGACCGATAACGCATAGAAGTTTGAATTCCTTATGGTAAAAGATACAAGAGATTAAGTGAAACAAGTTGTTAACCTGATAAAAAATCTATATTCCGGTTTGATAATGCTTGCTAATTGCAAGCTTTAAAAACATTGGTTTGACAACATACAAAAAAATTGGAGCAGTAACCCGTTACTTTTATACTTTTTGACTCGAATAGATATTAATGTTTTAATCGGGCGTCTAGAAAAATGTCTACATCAATTCTTTCGTTTATAACCAATGTCATTGATTGTCTTAATATTTCGTTGGCTCTTTTTCTCCACCCTCACACTACATGATTATTTTATGAAGTAACCAGTGGTTTTACAAAGTTGAAAATAGAGATCACAGCCACACATCTATATTTCCTTATCATTTGAATAACGTGAACCAAACCCTTTCTAGTAGAACTTCACATAACAGGAAAACGAAAATCTGCAATTTGAATAACAGATATCTAGGTATTCAATCACTTTTTTTTACAAATCAAGCAGCAAAAGAAGTACGCACAAAACATTAACACACGAGCAATCTACATCTAACTACAGTGACTGACTACAAGCTAAACAAAACAAGCAAACACTGAACACAATGCATATATCTTACTTGAATCCAGCTCATAGTACCCGTCGCCTTGTCCAGAAGCGGCCAGGTCCAAATTGTTACTTGACGGGGATCCAATTTGATTGTAGAGTCCGTCATCGTGTTCTACGGGTTGCATAGCTGATGTACCCGGACGAGAATGTTGACTGTGTGGTGTTAACGCACTAGCCCCACTGATGGGTCTGCTTGCAGCATTAGGGGGCATATTGACGTCTACGTAAATGTCTTGGTCTATATCAGCGGGCACAGCTGCAGCACCTCGACTCACGCTTCGCCCAAGCGGAAAACTTTCGTCGCTCACTGTTCAAATTCACATCATTACTTTATCGCATCTACATAGGAGTTTCATTAGTTCAAAAAATGTTTTTTCAAAAGCCTCAGGTTCCATTATGATTGAGAAATGAGAAACACAGCTGCCAAGGTGTCAACGATTCCGGATAACTACTTTCTACTTTCAACGATGTTTAATGATAACACAAGCTCCGCTGTGTAATTAATCAATTAGACATAGCAAACAGACAGTTGGAAAAAACTCCATGAACGCAAGTTAACAAAAAAATACTGACTTGTTTTTTTTTAAATCTCAACTTTCGAACTTCAGACAAAAACAGACGCCTTAAAGCTTTTTGAATCTCAAGAACAATTTATGATTGGCTACGTTTTTTTTTGAAAAAATGAACCCAATTAGATAGAATATTCTTTCATAACCCAATTTGAGAAATCCTTCATCAACAGTTATCACCGTCGATTTAATAACTGACGTGTTTATGCCAGCGCACATTTTTCGCAAGAAAGAACTGAAAGGGGTGACTTACAGCCAAGATTGCCATTGAGAGCTCCCCCTCCTCCATGGGACGACTGGTCGAAGCTGGCAGTGCTCGGAATTGAGGGCGAGGAGCCCCTGGTCTGTGAGTGTGGGGTGGGTCCCGGTGCAGGCCTCATACCGTTTTGCTGAGACTGCTGGTGCTGCAGATTATTCGCACCATTCGCCAGCTGGTGATGCTGGTCGTGGTCCGGAGGAGAGAGCACGATATTGCTACCACCATCTAGTAAAAAAAGAAAGAATCTGCCAAAACTCATTTTAACGGGAAATTTAAAAAAAAATTATATTGAATTTTGCTGGCAAAAAATTCAACTTTACATACTCTCCGAATGCCATTTTCAAATTAGATACTACTTGGGACATTGTTAGATACAAAAATAAAACGAAGCTCCGCGTTCGTGCGATAACAAAATAACGACATGATACACAGAACTTGATCAAAAAACATATACTTTTAAACTGAAGAAACTCCGAACGCAATTTTGAACGCTAACCAAAATTACCTCATCTCCCTCTTAATCCTTTCAAAACGCCAACTACATGTGGTTCAGAGAACCAAGAGATGCACCCATTCCAGGACCCTCTGATTACATCAGCGAATCATGTAATGGCTTGATGTGCCGCTCCCACTATAGCGTCACTTTTATCTACTGCGTATGCCTTCAATTTTCAACACATTCGCGTTATGACTTAAAAAACTTCCACAAGGAATCGAAAGTTTAAAAGAAAAATATTATCCAATGCGCCTCAATTTTAAAACGAATGAGTCGAAAAACGTATCAAAATGGTGCGTCCCTCTCGCGACTTCGGCCCTGGTGGACTCACTATAATTCATTTAAAACATCAACGAAATTGCACTTAACTACTTAGAAAAGTCATAAGCCTCAATATGAGCACTTCAAACCCCCACACAGATCCAAACATTTCCGAATTCTGCTGCCTTATCTCCTTACTTAGTCTCATGTAAATTGTTGAAACAATTTTTATCTCCTTTCTAAATAAACGCTTGAAACCGAAATATCACCGATATGGCTTCCGCCCCCTTCAGTGTTAGCATCAGGGGGCAAATTCTATCTCCTACGGGTTTAACCAAAACAGGCTTAAGCTTAGTGGCTCTAGACTTATCGGAAGCTTTCGACTGGGTGAACCAGCACACCCTAAGATAAAAACTAACCAAAGTCAGAGACCAATTCTGCAAAGGGAGAAACATCCTCAGCGGCGTTCCACAAGGACACGTTATCTCTCCTTCCATGGTCAATTTCTAGGTAACAACTCCCCTACTCCACCGAAAAACATATCCATCATATCCTATGCTGTTGACCTCACCGATTACACCCAAGACCTATCACCATCACCTTCTTTGTATCTAGATCAGGGGCGGATCTAGGATTCGGATCTAGGATTTTCTCGAAGGGGGGGGGCGGATTTTCAAAAAATTTTCCAAAATTTTGACGACTTTTTTTTTATAGGTCGACCAAATTGATTGTTCGAGCTCTCCTAAAGCACTGTTTTGCCCCTATTTTGGCTAAATTTTCTGCGCCGCAATCAAATTTTTGAAAAAACAGTCAAAAAAGCTGTTTTTGGGCACTTTTTGAAAAATTTTGACAAAAAAAACGCGTTTTTTTTGGGCGCGCGCTCCCCCTCAAAGTTAGTATATATTGGCGCCCAAGGCGCCTTTAGAAAAATTTTAGGGTCGGTCGGCCAAAAATGGATTTCTGAAAAAGTATCAAAGGGGGGACCTTTTGGGTCTGCAGGGGTCGAATCCCTGAGGGGGGGGGGGGCGTCCGCCCCCCCCCTAAATCCGCCCCTGATCTAGATTAACTGCACGTTCTACAATAACTTGAAATTAGAATTACCTCCTTGAAAATGCTCAGTGATCATCTTGTCACTGGACTCAAAAGACTACAAAACCCACCCATACAGAGTCAAAAAAATGATATTTTGCCTCCACTGGAAGATAAACCAAAAATTTAGGAATCTATTTACGCCCATTTCTAAAATACTCACTACACTGCAAAACTCAAGCAACCGAATGGAAGCGTTCCTAATTACCCATAAAGCGATAATTATACCAGTCCTAGAAAACGTCTACCTGGCGTAGTCACATGCAGCCAGCGACATGTCAACTCAAAGTCTCAATTGTGAAACAAAGAGCCGCATTCCGTAATGTACCTGGATGCACTAAAAAGACTATATCGACACTAACACACTGAATGTTTCATTCTCCTTTATAGCCAATTACTTACCTACTTTCATCACAATACTAGGTCTGCTGTCACTTAACTAGCCACCCCGGAAGAACGATACTCAAAGCAAGAGAGCCTCACAGACAAATAAAACGCTCATTAAAAATTCAAGACTCCGCACGCTTAACTAACTAGGTAGACCTCAATAAATACATCGACAAGGTTACTGAAACACAAATCTACAAAAAAGAGCGGTTTCTAAGTCCACCGAACCTGCGCCTATACCAAATTTACTCAACGAAAACCCACATTAACCTCCTAAACAGAACTATCACCCAGCCAAAAGAACCGTTTAGCACTTCTTCCTTTCTCAGGTTGGACAAACCCTTCGGTCAAGCTCGCTGCTGATGGCCAGTGTCGACACAACAATACCTTAAAACCCCGGCTCAGAAACCAAAACCGTTCCTCTGTCTGGTGTTCTACAGATACTGTATAGACAAAATCAGATACCACCGCCATAGCTCTGCCAATCTTAACGACCAAGAGCATTCAGACATTCAGACTACCATTCAAAGGTGGTAACTACAAGAAAACCATTTTCTGCATTACAATTGTACACATGCGAGAAAGCGACCAAACACATCTCTGTAAAGTGCAGTAAGAAATAAGCCTCGACTTGGAAAAATTTCGACCAATTCTCGGATTCGTTCCGCGACCTAGAGATTATGAGTCTCACGCAATAACCACTCGACCACGCACGCTCATCACATCGCAAACACTAGCCACAAAGAAAGCAGAGACAAGATTCAATGAAATTTTAAAATGCTGGAGCGTGATTAAAGCAAAAGTGCCACCAGACAAGTAAACACTTTCCAGTTTCAATTGACATTTTTATTTGAGAGCTAGGTTAGAAAAACAAGAAGGTTCGAGCTAAAACACTACACTGATGGCTGGCTAATCAAAAAAGAGGGCAATTGTAAACCAAACATGCACAAGGTTTTTGTCCCTTAAATAAACTTTGTCGCAAGTTTGGAAGAAGTACTTGCAATTGCCGATATTATTTAAAAATACTGCTGGAATGTTCGACAAAAACGTTTATTTATTGTGTTTTTGGTTTCCGCTTCCATAATTTCGACATAGTTACACTCATCCCAATATGACGAATCTGGAACAATAGGTAATTTTTTCCATTCCGCGGAAAATTCTGAAAAAGAAAACCCATTTTTGGAACTGAAAGTCAACAACAAGTTTTCGAGACATTTGCACCAATTTCACAGAGTAATTTCTCTTTAGATCATCAAAATAAATCAAAGCGAATAGCAAAAAAAATCAAATTCAAATCACGAAAAAAAT